TTATTTTCTTTCTCTTTTTCCTTTTTTTTTTTTTTTTTTTTTTTTTAAATTTTACGCGTATGCCCCTCTCAATTTCGTGCACCTCCTGCCCTCCAATTTCGTGCTCCGTAGCCTCGAATCCCCCCCCCCCCCCCCCCCCCCCCTCCCCAAGCGTTCGCACTGTTTCGTACTGCAGCCAGTAGGCCAGCACACTGGTCAGCACGCCCGCTAGTGCGCTAGCCAGTATGCTAGCCAGCCCGCTAGCCAACGAACTAGACAGTGTCGAACATATTTGTATATGTTGCTATAGACTATATAGGGGCATGCCTTAGCGAGTACAACATTTTAGGTCAAAACCACCATGTACTCTGTTTTCTAATTAATTCTGCTACACTGAGAGACAGCACGCCAGCCTTCACATCGGCCAGCTAGCCAGCACGTTAGCCAGCTAGCTCGCCAGCCGCGTTAGCCAGCGCGCCGCCAGCAACTGCTGCCAGCTCCTCGCCAGCAGCGCCAGCCAGCTAGCCACCAGCAGTGTCCGTCAGCTCGCCGCCAGCCACTCGCCAGCAGCGCGAGCCAGCTAGCCGCCAGCAGCGTCCGCCAGCTTGCCGCCAGCTCGCCGCCAGCAGCTGCTGCCAACTTCTCGCCAGCAGCGCCGGCCAGCTAGCCATTTGCAGCGTCTGCCAGCTCGCCGCCAGCAGCTGCCGCCAGCTACTTGCCAGCAGCACCGACCAGCTAGCCGCCAGCAGCGTCCGCCAGCTCGCCGCGAGCAGCTGCCAGCTAGTTGCCAGACAGCCGCCGCCACTTCAGCCGCCCCTGCCGCTGAAACCACTGCTACTGCCGCTGCCGCTGTTACTGCTGCAATTGCCGCCTGCAGCCACTGCCACTGCCGCAACCACTGCAGCCACAGCCGCAATCGCTGCAGCCACTACCACTGCCGCAGCTGCTGGCCCCACTGCCGCTGCTGCAGCCGCCGCTACCGCAACCTGTGATGCCGCCGCTGCCACTGCCGCAGTTGCTGCAGCCACTGCCGCTGCCGCCTCTGCCACTGCAGCCGCCACTGCCGCCACTGCAGCCACTGCCTCCGCTACTACTGCAGCAGCTACGGCCGCTACTGCCACTGCTGCCACTTGCGCTGCCGCCACATGTGCTGCCGCCGCTTGCACTGCCGCCGCTTGCGCTGCCGCTACTTGCGCTGCCGCCGCTGCTGCCGCCACTGCCGCTACTGTGGCCGCCGCTACCACATCTTGTGCTGCTGCCGCCGCCACTGCCGCAGCTACTGCAGCCACTGCCGCTGCTGCCACTGCCGCTGCAGCTGCCAGCTGCAGCCGCCGCAGCCGCCGCTGCCCGTGCAGCTGCCACTGTCACCGATGCCCTTCCAGCCGCCACTGCCGCCGCTGCCCTTGCAGCCGCCACTGCCGTCGCAGCCGCCGCTGCCTTTTCAACTGCCACTCCCACCGCTGCTGCCGCTGCCGCCGCTACCTCTGCAACCGCCGCTGCCACTCCTGTCACCACTACTGTTGCCAACCGTCAGCATAAGCCTCCACCAGCCTGGCCACCAGCAGCCAGCACCAGCCGCAGCAGCCAGCAGCCGACCGCCGGCAACCTGCCGCCGACCCCCAGCAGTCAGCCACCAGCTGCCACCACTTGTGGCCAGCCGCTGACCATCGGCCGCCAGCCGCCAATCGCTAGTCGGTCGCCAGTCGCCAGTCAGGCGCCAACCTCGTGAGTCCCCTATGCCCTGTGGACAGTCAATCGCCATGTGCGTACTTCCTCCTCATTTGCTCCCTACTCATCCTAGCAGCTACAGCCCACTGCCAGCTCCCCCCCACTGCTGCCTTACTGTCACTCGCTCCTTCTATCGTTAGCCTGCTAGGCATTGCTACTACAAGCCTCCTACTCATTGCCACTACTCCGGCCATAGTCGCCACTTCTATAACCCAGTTAGTGCTCCTGTATCACCTAGTGCCTCCCACTAGTTTCCTCCTCGTATTTATAGTTCTTTGCCGCCTCTCCTCTCAACATGATGGCCTCGTTAGGGTCTGTCCCTCGACCAGACCGCAGGGCACTTCCCGACGCTCTTCGGTTTCTCGCTCACCAGCTACAGCTGGTGAGCCCGCACTTAGACGGCACGCTCCTAGAGGATCACATTAGTTACCTACTTGGCTTCTGGCTCCACAACCTCGACGTCTGCTTCCGGGCCATTGGCCAGTGCCACAGCCGCAACAGCAGCAGCAGCAGCGGCAGCAGCCGCAGTAAGGTCTTGAGGGTTTTGGGCACAGTGGGGGGCTCTGGAAATGCAGCCCCAGGGCAGTCACTGCCCTGGAGCCACTGTGGTCTCTCTGGAGGAGCGGGGGCCTTGGGGCATAGGGGTCTAGGTCCCACCACTGTGTCTAATGTAGGAGCCTCTACTACGTTTCCCCTAAGCTCCTCCCGTACCCCTCCTACGCTGACCCTCTCTATTATCCTTGACTCGGGCGCGTCTCGTTGCTTCTTTAGGGACAACACTGCTCTCATCCCGCTTCCTGCGCCCGTCCGCATCGCACTAGCAGACTCCTCCGCCACAGCTGTCGCACATAGCACCACCACTCTCCCCTATCCAGCTGTCCCCTCCGACTCACTCACCGGTCTGCACATCCCCTCGTTCGCCAGGAAACTAGTGGGTGTCGGTCACCTCCAGGACCGAGGCATCACCACTACATTCCCTGCCGCTAGAGACACGCCACTTTCACAAACACAGCCACCGATCAGCACTTAGCCACTAGTGAGTGTGACCCAAGGTCAAGTCTCATTACAATGCACACTGAGTCCCCGCCAACTGCTGCGTTTGCCGCGGTTGCCGCGTCCTGCTCCTGTCACTCGATAGCCCAACCGACCCTTCTGTGGCACCACCACTTAGGTCACCGTGCACTCCCGTATCTTAGGCACATGTCCCAGCACGGTCTAGTCACTGGTCTCCCTGTGTCGCTCCCCACCCTACCCATATCGGTAGCACCACTGTGCACGTCCTGCGTTGAGGGCTGACAGCACGCCGCCCCTCACTCCTCCTCGTTTCCTCCTACCACAGCACCACTACAGACACTGCACATCGACGTCTGGGGCCCTGCCCGGTCCATGGTCTTACTGAGGAGAGCTACTTTCTAGTCATCGTTGATGGCTTCTCGCGCTTCACCACTGTGTTCCCATTGGAGTGGAATCCCGATGTGCATACCGTACTCCTCCCATGGCTTCTCACTGTTTGCACCCACCACCGCCTGCCTGTAGGTCGCTTACACTCTGACCGAGGTGGCAAGTTCGTCTGTAGCACTCTAGGACGGTTCTTTTGTGCGGAGGGCATCTGCCAGACGTACACACTGCCAGACTCCCCACAACAGAATGGGGTCACTGAGCGACGCAGCTGCTTGATCATGGAGGTGGCTCGCACCTCCATGGTCCACGCCGGTGCACCCCATTTTCTGTGGTCGTTCGTTGTGCGCTACGCTGCTCACCAGCTTGACCTGTGGCTGCACTCCCAGTGGCCACAGATTTTGCCGACCCTCTTCTGGACCGGGTCTCGTGGTGTTGCGTCTGCGTTCCACATTTGGGGCAGCCTTGCTCATGTCCGCGACACTGGCGCGGACAAGCTCTCAGCCCGCACCCTTCCTGTGTCTTCTGACTAGCTGTTCTACCACCCGTCACACCATCACTTTTACCACTCTCATGATGTTACCTTCAATGAGAAAATCCCCTACTACTGGTGCTTCTCACACTGCAATGCTCCTGTGCCTCCTCCTCATCTCTTCCTTGTCCCTTCATCACCTGCCGGACCCCTCCTGCCCCTCCCGGCCCATTCTAGTGTCTCCCACTCCACTCAGTTCCTCAAGGTTGCGCCTCCGGGGGAGTTGGCTGACTTTGGGGGCCCAGCTGCTGGGGGCGCAGCTGCTGTTCCTGCGGCGCCCCCCCCAGCCTTGGTATCATATTCCCCTCAGCGCCTCCCCCCTTGCCCCAGCAGTAGCAGCAGCTGCCACAACAGCAGCAGCAGTAGCAGGGAGTATTGGGCACTGGGGGTGCTGGTTCTTGGGGTATTGGGGTTGGATGTGTTAGGGTTGGGGGTGTTGGTAATGGGGGTGCGATTTTTGGGGTTGCTGACTCTGTGTGTCACAGGATCGAATGTGTCGAGTAAAAGTTGTACTATCGATTGATACAAGGCGCTTTTATACTTCCAAGGTACATCAAGTTACCACGTTTATCCTATCCAAAGGGAATAGACCCTTCTAGAAATAGAATCACCCTTCGTATAGTTACGCGAGGCTATTGGCTTTAAGGGACTACGGCAGGATTACGCTAGATAAAGTGCGCTAGTACATCCCGAGCCTGGTCGGTAATATATTCATAATAATAGGATAAACCAAAGGATAATGGAAAATGAGGAATAGGAACCCAAATGAGATGAGATAAAGAGCAAAGGAATGAAGAGAAAAAGGAGAATGAGAAAGATGGAAGTGGAACGAGATCATACTCTCACACTTCCCCCCCTCAAAGCTGGGTGGTAGATTTAACACCCTGCTTGACAAGGTAGTCGTATAGAGGACAACGAGCGTTATCCGTATCGGATTCAGGGACCCAGCTATCCTCAGAAGGATCATAACCCTTTCAATGGATGAGAAGCTCCACGGTGCCAGTCCAACGACAGTGGTGGGCAAGCACAGACTCGACCTCGTACTCGGGTTCATCATGGACGAGGACGGGCGATGGCGGCAGCGGTTGGCGTCCGGTGAAGGCCGTGTTGGGATCTTTGTATGGCTTCAGAAGTTGGACATTGAAGGCGTTGTGAGTCTTCTAGGTAGCTCGTAGGTGTAAGCGGAAGGTAACAGGAGTGACCCGTGCTTCAACGAGGAAAGGCCCGCAGAAGCGAGGTCGTAGTTTGGATGGAAGATGGCTGATGTCTAGATTGCGGGTATCGAGCAGAACTCAGTCTTCCACCGTGATAGTATGGTCCTTGCGGTGGCGATCGACTTGGCGCTTCTGTTGTTGCTGAATGTCGAGAAGGCGCTTGTGGGTCCGATCCTAAAGTTGGTGCATGGTTGTGATGAAGTCGTGTGCGGGTTGGACTGTGGCTGATACGGTTGGTTGCAGTGGCTTGAGCGGGTGGTGTCCATAACAGAGGAAGAACGGCGTTTGTCTAGTAGTGGTGTGAGTGGTGTTGTTGTAGGCGAACTTCAAAACAGGTAGATGCAAGTCCCATTTGGAGATATCGTCCTTGCACACTGCACAGAGGAGTTGCTCTACAATTTGGTTGAGACGCTCGATCTGGCCGTCTGTCTGCAGATGATATTCGGATGACATGACGAGTTTGGTCCCTAGCAGTGACATCAGTTCCTTCCAGAATTTGCTGGTGAACTTGGGGTCTCGGTCGGAGATGAATGTGGTTGGAATGCCATGTTGTGAGATGATGTAGCGAACGAATAGCTGTGTGGTCTCCTCGCTGCGTGCTACCGTGTGTGTTGGGATGAAGTGTCCCATTTTGGATAATTTTTCGATGACGACGAGGATTGCGTCATGACCGGTTGTGATGGTTGGTAACCTGGTGATGAAATCTAGGCTTACCACCTGCCATGGCTGTTCTAGGATAGGAAGAGGCTGTAGCAGTCCTGCTTTCTTCTGCTTGCTGCTCTTCATCCGGTGACATGTGTCGCACGAGGTGACAAATTTCGGAACGTCATCTGCCATTTGGGGCCAGTAGTAGTGCGTTGCAATGCCCGTGAGCGCTTTGTTGCTACCGAAGTGTCCCGCGTATAGGACATCGTAGTATTCTTCGAGTAGTAACTGGTGCAAAGGAGAGTAATTGGGTACCCAGATCTTGTTGATCCTTTTCGGTACGCGATGCCACTGTCCCACAGTAGCAGGTGTCGCTTTTCCGCCAAATGAATTTCGAGGTCGATATTGTACCCGTGTGTGAAGAGTCCCTTGAGTAGTGGGTTCATCCCTTTGACCTAGATGGCAACAACGTGTGCTGGCCGGCTAAGAGCGTCTGCTTTGTTTCTGTGGCCAGGCTTTTACACGATGTCATAGTGGAAGTGCGTCTCAAGAAAGTCAATCCACCGGACCTGCCGCCTTGAGAGGTTTGGTTGTGTCTTCAAATATTTCAGACTGCAGTGGTCGGTGTAGACGGTTGTTTTTCGTCCTTCAAGATAGCATCTCCACGTTTTGAAGTCGATGATGATAGCAAGGGCTTCCTTGTCGTGTATCAAGTAGTTTAGTTATGCCCCGTGTAATTTCTTGTTGAGGTAGGCGATTGGTTGCAGTCCATTCCCCTAGTCTTTCTTCAAGATTGCCCCCACTGCTTGGTCGCTGGCATCAGCTTCGATGACGTAGTCGCATTCGGGGTCTGGCAAGATGAGTACGGGTGTGGACGTGAGTGCTTGTTTAAGCTGCTCCACGCCTTCCTTGTGCTTTGGTTCCCACTTGTCGGGCGTGTTCTTCTTCAGCAGATTCGTGAGTGGCACGACAATTTTCGCGAACTGTCGCACGAATTTGTTGTAGTAGTTGGTGAAGCCTAGGAACTGCTGCAACACCTTCACGTTCTCGGGTGTCTTCCACGTGTGTACGGCTTCGATTATCTTGGGGTCAATGTGAACTCTTTGAGAGTTTACCATATGTCCGAGGAATTGGACCTTCTCGAGAGCAAAATCGCTCGTGGACAATTTGACGTAGAATCGTTCTCCCCGAAGAATTTCGAAGACGCGTCGCAGGTGTTCGATGTGCTCCTTCATATCACGCGAGTAGATGAGGATGTCCTCCAGGTTCACCACCACGCATTCATCTAAGAGTGGGCAAAGAATGTGGTTCGTTTCGGTGGATGGAATTGTCCGCCATTCTTATCTGCAGTATCCGGACCGCATATCTAGTTTGGAAAATACCGTGGCTCCCCGAAGCTGGTCAAGCAGGTCATCGATCTGTGGATTTGGATATTTGTTCTTGATGGTCTGCTTGTTGAGAGCTTTGTAATCGATGCACATGCGCAGGCTTCCCTCCGGCTTCGGTGTGAAGAGTACTGGGGCACCGCATGGTGAAGTGGATGGTCGGATGAGTCCTTTGGCAAGGAGATACTCGATCTGCTTCGTCATGTTGGCTAGCTATGTGGGGCTGAGCCGATATGGTGCTCTGAAGGTCAGCTTTGAACCTGGTTCCTCCACAATCTCGTGTTGGTGCGTTCGGCATGGCGGTAGCTCGTTCAGAAGGTCGTCGGGAAGAATGTGTTGGAACTCCTTCAATAATTCCTTGATCTTTTCTGGAGGTTCCAAGGCTTCCTCTCCATCCATTTCCACATCCGATGCTATCACCAGGATTCCGGTGTCGGTTTGTCTCACGTCCTTCTCGAACCTGGCGAGTGTCTCCACTGGTATATCTCCTGTATCGTCCCAGTTGGGTAGCTGGACTCTCCTTCCGTTGCTGTAGATACTTGCGGTACGGTTCACCTAGTTGATCTCAGGGTTGAATTTCTTAAGAAAGTCTCGTTCGAAGATCAGGTCAAGCCCTTTGATGTTGGTGATGGGGAGTGCAGGTCTCCAGCGCAGTGGTCCGATTTGTATGTGTAACATTGCTTCGCCGTGGACTGGTAGTAACTTGCTGTCATCCACCATCGTTGAAGAGAATGTTGAAGGCTTACACTTTTCCCGAAGTCGGTCGATTGTTGCCTCGTCTCATGCGGTGTGTGATGCTCCGCTGTCCACGAGTGCTCGGTGGCCTCATCCTTTGCAGATGACCCCGAGCACGAGGGGCAGGCGTTGCTCAGAGTACCCATATAGTTTCATTGATAGGGTCATAGGGTACATCCCAATGTTCAGTACACACCTTTTTGTTGCTTCCTACTCCTTAGCTAGCAGCTGGCCGAGAATGCTTGGAGAAAGGCTCTTCTCCAGGGACCGGAGTTTCCTTGACGACTGTGTGCGTCATTGATGCCGAAATTGCTGAGCTAGATGCATCCGAAGGAGGAGTTCAGGGTTTTTGAAGCTTCCTGTAGAGCCCTAGCTTCCTCTTGAGCTGCTTCAGCTCCACCAACGTCTTCCCTGGGGAACGGGTAATCGTTGTGGGCTGGTGTAAGGAGAGGACGTTGACTCCGTGGAAAGGTCGGCTTCTTTCCACACTCCTTAATTTTGTCCCCAAGTTCTCCAGTCGAGGTATGATCTCCACAATTTTCTGCTTCTTCTGGGGTCCTTCCTGAATTTTCTCCAAGGCTCTAGCCCCTCGAGAATCATAAGTCTTCATTAAAGCATCTTTATAAGATAACTTTAACGAATCCTTATAATTTCTTGGGTCGTGTAGGAGTTTCCCCGTCTCGGCAGAGTCTTTTTTCGCGGAGTTAGATTTTTCCTCTGCAATTTTCTTTGGCGAAGAATTGTCGTGGGGTGGAGATTTTCCCCCATCATTTCCTCCTGCTCGCACTGAATCAGCTTCGTCGAAGTTGATTTTTCCGGAATTCCGTGGCCGTTTTCGGATCTTTCCTTTTTCGCCAGTTAGATCCGCAATCACTGGCGAGTCCCGTTTTTTGTCTTCTGATTGGCCGAAGAATTTCTGCCACTGTTGCACGCCCGATACTCCGGATGTGCGGCTTTCATTTTGCTGCAGTCAAAGATTCGGTGGCCCGGCACCCCGCAAAAATCACACATGTAGTTGGTGTTTTTCGGACATGGCCGCCCGTCGAACTTGTCGATTTCGATCGGGTCAGCGAACGTGGGGTGAGCCGAGTGGTCGCCCTATCGCGTACTGCCATCGTGCGCCCATCGTGTCCCGGCGTTGACCATGTCAAACCGCTCCGCTGCCGATACGACATCACTGTGGCTCGCGAAATTTGTCGCTGCTACCTGTCGTTTGACTTCGGTCTTCAGCCCTGTGAGGTACGACTGCACTTTTTCTCATTCGGTCAGGTCGGGAATGCAGTTATAAAATTCTTCCATCTACTGCGTGTATTGTGCTACACTCCTGAACTGTCGATGGCGATGAATTTTTTCCCGGGCAAGGAAACCGGAATTTATCGGCTTAGTAGGTCGGTGCGGAACTGCTGCCACGTGGCTTCGCCGTGGATAAAGGTACTGTTACCGCCGATCCACTCGAGTGCCGGCCCTTGCATCAGTGTCGCCGCGAGTCGTACGCGTTGATTGTTCCAGACTGGCGAGCTCGACTCGGGGATTGTCTCTGTAATATTAGGACGGTTATTTGTCCTTACTGTCGCACTGACTCTTGACTCTTCCGATTCGAACTGTTGGGTTGCACGGTCAATGGTCTGTGACTGTTGCCCTTTCGTAACCTCTACGGGGCGTCATCAATCTGCATGAACTGTCGGTAATACCATAGTAGTGTTGACTCAATGATCCCCGTTGTTACAATCTTCGCGTATTCGTACACTCACACGAGGCTCCAGAAATGTCTTAAGTTCATTTATCATTTCCAACACCCTCCTTCATTTCTGGAGTGTCGATGTGGTCAAGGTTGCCGATGTGTTGCAGTTCAGTCAACAGAATGCAATACTGGAGCTTTGATTTCATCAGCTTCTTGGTCAAGTAGTTGGCTGCCGTTTCAGTGGTGGGGCAGTAGACCAATTGAAGACGACCCTGTTTGATCTTGTCCTTCACAAAGAAGTAACTAAGCGAGATGTGCTTCGTCCTAATCACGAATCTGTTTTTGCTGGCGATTCTGATAACTAATTGGTTATCGCATAAGACAAAAGCTTGGTAACTCGGCAATCTTCGTTTCTTCGAGCAGCTCGTGTAGGTACAGTCCTTCCTTTGTGGCTGTGCAGAGGGTGATATATTCAGCTTCAGCATATGAAAGAGCGATTAGTTCCTACTTTCCCGAGTGCCAAGAGATAGTGCCTATAGGTTCCAGACGGTAGATGTAGCCAGTGCGTGAGCATCGGTTGTCCTTATCGGCGGCGTGATCAGCGTCGACATAGCTGATAAGTTTGGTCTTGATAGCAGCGTTCTTGTGGTAGGTCAGGCCGATCGTCGGGATCGAGACGAAGTAGTGGAGCGCGCGATCGAGTTCCTGCAGATTCCCCCCTTCAGGTCGCTTAAGATACATAGCGAGCTAGCTAGCGGTGTAGGGGAGATCAGGACGGTAGGTAACGGCGCCGAATAGCAGACATCTTAGTTTTTGTTGATACTCCTGGATCCTGGCTAGTGCGAGTAGCGAGACGGTGGACGCGGGTGCTGGCGGCGCGTATGTGTACGGAGTGCGAGACGTTGCGAGGATAGATCGAACCTTCGAGCGATGGTCTCGGCGTACTTCGAAGCTGAGAGGTGGATGGTGTCGAGACCGTCGGTGACGTTGAGGCCAAGGTACTGCGTCACGATCAGCGATACGGTGCTTGTTAGCTAGAGTTCCGGCTTCCTTTCAAACCAGACCATGATTGACGTAGTGGAGCCAACATAGAGTAAGTCGTCCACGTAGATGATCAGCAGGACGTAGTCGCCGCTGCGTGACAGGCGGTACATGCATTGGTCGTGGGGGAGTTGGGAAAGGCCCATGGTCACAAGGATTCGGTGCAGGTACTGCTGCCATAGGTGAGGGGCCGGCTTGATCCCATAGAGGGATTTGACCAGTTGGCAGACCAGCATTGGGTCGTCGACGTAGAAATTTCTTAAGTTCTTTTATCATTTCCAACAAGGATAACTCGCGGGTGGGGCTGCTTTTGGTGGATGCATGCTACTGTGACTTTGAATTGGCGTTGTGTATGTACAAGAACAAAGATGAAGATGTAGTTTAATCACTATGCGATGTATTCTTTTATCAACATATTTGGCTCATGGGTCATTGAACTGAGCGGCTCAACCGTCGAACTGCATCTCGTTTGTGTCATCTGTCAGATTCGCGGTCAGTCCGTACAGTACAACCCTGGCAATCCGCCAACTTCAAAGAAATTGCTGAATTGCAGCTCTCTACCCCAAATCTTGCAGAATTCGGGTCGAATTCCAATTGCCGGGGCTCACGCGGCGCATCCTTCCGACAGTTCGGTCAAACGTCAGCCGGCATGTGCAGAGAGATTCTTCTCGTTGGAGCGCGTCAGCGAAACGATTCATTCACTGGCGCCGCTCCAGCCAAATTTGACGGCGAACTGAATCCGGGGGATTTCCCACCGTCGATCCCAACCAGCACCCCTGCCACCGTCAGACGAACTGACGGTGATCGGAGAGTCCTTCCATCACCCCCTCTGTTCATGTCAATCTTTCCTTGGCTCTGCTCACTTGATGCTCCTCCATCGTCAGTATTCCAGAATCTAGGCTTTCTTGAGAACCATCGAAATAACTCGCAGCTATCTAGGCTGAGCCTAGGGATCGACTCAACGGGACGGGAGTTGCTCTTACTTTCTCCAGGTGATTCCTGGATAGTCTCACTAAGTAGCACCGCCACCAATCGTGGCGCCAATAAGGCTGTAAAATAAGAAGATTCGTGACTACGCGGCCTCAATACGGTCTTCGACCTCTTGCACAACCGTTGCTCACTTATCAATTGACGAAACGTTTTATCCCTCGGATGACTCGGTTAGATCTCGCCTGAGACCCTTCCATCTACGATGACCTCCGAGCATACCGCGGCTCGCCATAAGAAGCAGCTAGGAGAGGGCCAAACCTCCTCACGTTTGAGATTACATTCGTCGGACCGAAGCAGCTCGTTAACTCAATGCGTAATGGCGCACCCAGGCGTTCTGAGTCGACTCATAGTATATTCGAGCGTTCCTTGCTATCGGGCCGTCTCTCTCCTGCTGATTCTGTGTCTCTCCATTCACCCTGTTGCAAGCACTCGTTCCCATACAAGAACGTCCCGCTATAATCACCCCGCGGATACGAACAGTTTAGACCAGGAACTTCGACGCCGACAACTCGTCGGAACGGATAGTCCAGTCGGCGACAGGCACGATCTCGACCAGTTTAGCCGTCAATTTCGCAAAACCGACAGTCGGGTTAGCGACCGACAGAATCTCGACCACGGTCGCCGTCAACTTCTCCGAGAAGCCGGTAGTCGGGCTAACGACCGTCACGATTTCGATCAGCGTCGCCGGCAGCTGTACGAGGCGGACGCCGCCATTCGCGCTCTGCACCACCACCATCTACCTAGCGGCAGCGGCGGCGGCGGCGGCGGTGGTTCTGGGAGCTACGCTAGCATGGAGGAAGAAGCGTTTTCGTCGTCGCTCTGCTGGAGCGTGTCAGAGCGACGCTACTACCAATCGGTGCGCAGCTTTAGCTTTCCATCGATTTTTGCTCTCGTCCCGCTTTAGTTTCTCGCTGCTTGCCATCTACCTAAAGCTACGGAGAACACAGTGTAGAAACTCGAAGCTCCAGTGGATTTTAGCTCCCGTCTGATAAGCTTTCCCGGGCAGCCTCCCCGCCTGACGAATCTGCCGTCCTTTCAGGGCCGTTTTCCCGCTGCTTACGAGGCACGAGAATTAAGCTCAAATTTAGGGACGAGAGCTCAAATCCAGGGAGCTTTTGAGTTTCGTCACAGTGTTCAGTACGGTCCCTGGTGGCCTTCGTTACTAGTACAGTCTACCTTACGCAACAGAGAACACTGTGATGAAACTCGAAGGCTCCCTGGATTTGAGCTCTCGTCCAGTCAGCTTTCCCTGACGGCTTTCCCTGACGGCTTTCCCTGACGGCTTTCCCGCCTTTCGAGTCTGCCGTCCTTTCGAAAGGTCGCCTACCTCCTCTCAGCTCAGCGACCTCCCGAATCCCGATGCTTCTTCCCCCTGATGCGCTTTGTTCCTGGATCGCCGAATCCCTCCTAACCGCGTTCGACCGTGTCTCGCGGTATTGTCCGCGTCGCGACTGAATCGATGCGTGCAGCCCTACAGAACGGCGACGCGCTATCCGAGCGAATCCAGCGGTTCCTTATAATCACCCTTGCTTCGTATCACTCGAAGTTTTCGATTGTGTCACCTCATTATTGTCTGCCTCACATTTGCGACTGATGCGTGCAGCCCTTCAGCACGACGACGCGCATGTCCGACGCGCTATTCGAGGCGATCCAGCGCTACACCAAGATGCACGCCGCGTGCACCGGTCCAGTCGCTGATTGGCCAGCTTTCTTCAACGACCCGTGAGTCAGCATCGCGTTCTCTATTTCGCGTCGTGGTTCTTTTCAAGCCTATCCCTCGCCCGTCCCACCCCCTCCCCTCATTCGCCCGTAAAGGCAGGTTAATTCTGAGACGTCCCAAAAAAAAACCCACTTTCACATCTTCTCTAATCCTGCTCACTACCAGATGCTCTCCACGACTATTCCTCTTCCGTCTTGCCCCCTCCCCTCATTCCCCGCTGACCGTGCCTCGCCAGCTAATCCTGCTTATTCGCCGTCCTTCACTACACGTCCTACACGCCCCACTCTCCCCAACCCCCCCTTCCTCTCTCTCCCGTCTAATGCGTGTCGCCAACTAATCCTGCTCATCCTTCGTCCTTCAATACCCTCTCCTCGCACACCCTACCCCCACTCCCCCCCGTCTACCATCAGTCGTCACTAGGCCCTGCTCATTCTGCGTCCTTTCTACACGCTCCCCACTGTCCCTACCCTTCTCATTCTCCCCATCCCCACTCCCCCCCGTCTACCATCAGTCGTCAGCAGGCTGTGCTCATTCTGCGTCTTTTCCGCACGCTCCCCGCATTCTCCCAACAGCCTCCACACTTTCCTGCCTTCCGTCTTTGCGCCTCTAAGTACCCAGGGCCGAAGCAGCAGCAGCGCGTCAGCCAATGCTGTCGTTGTTGCAACTTGCAAGTACCTGCCTGCTGTGGCAAGACAGAGCCTTAGTATTTACGCAAAGCCTTCAACTCATGTCCCGTCCTGTTAACCACGACCCTCCTTCCCGCCCCCCCTTGTTTGCCTCTCTCAGTACTCAGGGCCTAAGCAGCGGCGCGTCAGCCGATGCTGTTGCAGACTGCAAGTACCTGCTGTGGCAAGAGCCGACCTGGAACGGTAAGACACTTTCGACGAGGCTGAAGTGCACCATCCTTCTTGCACGCCCGTGTATCATCCTTCTCGCATGCCCTCCATGTAGGCAATTACTTGCGGCACTTTTTATCCTCCTCGCCAATCGAAATCTGTTGCTCAGCCTGATTACCTTTCCATCCCTTCCCTTTCCTTCCCAGGCCTAGGCAACCAGCTCCTATCCCTCGTCTCCTCCTTCATCTACGCCCTCCTCACCCACCGCGCGCTGCTCATCAGCCCTGCTGCGTTCTCCTCTCGCCTCCTCTGCAGCCCCTTCCCCCACTCCTCCTGGCGACCGCCCTCCCTCTCCGCTGAAGACTTTGAGTGAGTGAAGCAACTATCAGCGAACCAACTAGGAGTGCACCTACTCTAATCAGTGAACGTCTTAGGGCCCCCCTCCCTCATCTGCAGCCCCTTCCCGCACTCCTCCTGGCGACCGCCCTCCCTCTCTGCTGAAGACTTCGAGTGAGTGAAGCAACTATCAGCGAGCCAACTAGGGGTGCACCTACTCTAATCAGTGAGCGTCAAAGGGTCCCCCTCCTTCCTCTCCTCTGCAGACCCTCCCCCCACTCCTCCTGGCGACGGCCCTTGCTGTCAGCTGAGGACTTTGAGTGAGCGAACCTTTATTTGTTAGTGCGGGTGAGGGGCCTCTGATTGTAAGTGAGTGAGTGGTTAGTGAGCGAATGTCAGCCCGTTGTTTCGAAGGAAACTTAATGATGTTAACTGGCCGGCTCCCCTTTCCTCGTGACATGCTCTGCCCTTTCCTGTCCCCACTTCCCCTTCAACCCCGCATCCCTTTCAGCAGTAGCAAGGATCCGAAAGGCGGGACATTATGGGGGTTGCTTTCTCGCAGCACCTCTAGATTCGATCCTACACCATCACATCACCCCCTCACCCCTACTCACTCGTGGCAAGGAACCACTTTGTGGGTAGCATGAGCGTGCGTCTGGCTCCTCTTTCCTTCTCTCCCCCCCAACCCCACCCACCCGGTCTCATGTCAGCTGTGGCCAAGAACCACGAGGTGGGCCGCATGGTACTGGATGACAGGAGTAAAGGAGTGTCCTGTGTCCTAACCGTGTGTGACTCCTCTTTCAACCTCTTGCCCGCCCCTCCCTTGTTCCCCATCTCCCCCCCTCCTCGCCTGGTCTCATGTCAGCAGTGGCCAAGAACCACATGGTGGGGCGCATGGGGATGGACGACGGGGCGAGGGGAGTGTGTTTGATTACTCTGAATTACTCTGTATTTCAAGCGTGTTTAGTCTAGACTGTGCTTGCCTCTCCCTCTATTCCTCCCCATCCCTTTCCGCCCCTCCTCCCCCTTCGCCCAGTCTCATGTCAGCAGTGGCCAAGAACCACATGGTGGGGCGCACGGGAATGGATGATGGGGCGAGGGGAGAGGGGCAACAACGGCCCACTGCCGCATTTAGTGACCTTAGCTGCAGGTTCGTCTGCCGCATTTAGTGACCTTAGCTGCAGGTTCGTCTGCTGCCTTTCCATACCTTGTGCCTCGCACGCACTCGACCCTCCCCCTCTTTTCTTCTATCTGTCGCACCTCACTCTACTGTTCTGTAACGACCACTGCATAGAATGACAACGACCAGGCTCGGCAACAACGTCCTACTGCCGCTCACTGTCAGTGACCTTAGCTGCAGGTTCGACTACTTCCAATCCCTACCCGTTGCCTCGCACCCGACCCTCTCCCTCATTCCTTTGAAGGGACCTGTCACCTCCCACTCGTCCCTTTCATAGCGGTCATTCTATTAGACCACGGACGGCAGCAGCGCCCTACTGCTGCCTTCAGTGACCTTAGCTGCAGGTTTGACTACTTCCGTTCTCAGCCCACTCCCTCAATTCTCTTGCTGGTGCTACTTGGTTGACTAATCCCTTTTTCCTTTTCTACTTCCTCGCCCCCCTCTGCTACAGGGCCAACGTCTCAGATCTCGCCTTCTACTGTTCCAAGGTGCAGCGGCAGATCTCAGCCGTCCGTTTCCTGGGGCTCGATACAGAGGAGTATATCTTGCCAGCTCTCTACTTCGTTCCAGAATTCGATGTAAGCACACTTCAATACAATGTAAGCAGCACATTGCTCACCCATGCATTCGATGTAAGCACACCAATGCTTACACTCTCACTAATTCAAATTTACGGATCAATGTGCACCAGCCCCTCTTGATATCTTCACCTATATCTCTCTGTGTATACATCAAGAAGGGTGTATAATTCACAAATAGCAGGTGATTGCTGCTGCGTGAATTCGACTCGCTTCTTGCTCTCCTTATCGTCTCCATTTCCAACGTCTTTCCCACCCCCCCATATTCTCCCATCCCAGCAAGAGTTAGAGCGCCTGCCCTTGATTTGATGCACGCCGCTCACTAGAATGACCCATCTTCTTCTGCCATATACTCCCCTAATCTTCCCCCCCCCTTCTCTCCGCCCCCCACAGTCTGAGCTGGAACGCCTGTTCCCCAACCGCCTGCCCCTGACGCACGCGGGACAGCTGATGGACCCTTTTGCTTGGCTGTACCACCCTCCATGCTCTATCCCCCCCCAATCCTGCCCCCCCCACAGCAAGAGCTGGAGCGGCTGTTCCCCGACCGCCTGCCCCTGATGCACGTGGCGCGCTACCTGTTGCACCCCGCCAACTACCTCTGGGAGGAAATCACCCGTGCCTTCCGAGCCTACCTCGCACCGTACCAACTCAGGGTCGGCATTCAGGTCCGTGCCAACACAGGTTCGGCATCCAGGTCCGTACCAAAGCCGTTCCGGCATTTGCATGGAATTTGAGCAATAGGCTCGGCAGTTAGCTCGGCAGCACGTCCGGCAGGAGGTTCGGCGGTAGGTTTGGCAATAGGCCAGGCTGCTGTGACAATATAGGGGTTGGATTTCCAGGATAAGGGATAGGGGATAGGGGATAGGGGATAGGGGACTTCGATTCACGCACGGCAGCGCGTGGATAGAGGCTCTCGAAACATGCATGGCAGACGAGCCACAAGTGATTGAACGCATGGTGTGGAGATGTTGTCACCCACCCACCTTGCCGTCACTGGGGGCCCCACCTTGCGCTGAGGGTGCTTCTTAGAATTCTTAAACACACCCTGCGCCGTCGCTAAGGTGAGGCGTGGAGGCCCCACCAGTTAGTTGTGCAAAACAGACCCTCACTTGCCCCCTTCCTCCTGCTTTTGAGTCTACTCAAAAGCAAGCCCTCACTTAACAGACCCTAACTTGCCCCCTCACTTGCCCCCTTCCCCCTGCCTGCACGCACCTTTCCCTTAACCTTTCACCACCACAGATCCGGGACTTCACCTCGGACACAGTCGACGAGCCGCATGTGATTCAACGCACCATGCAGTGCGCTGTGAATATAACGAGGGGGCTGCCGCCCCTGCTGGAGCACTCGCGGTGGAAGAGCATAATGAATGACGAGGTGAGGGGTGAAATATCAGCACAGGGTATCATGGCACCATGGGCATATGCACCATGGGCATATGCACCATGGGCACATGCACCATTGGCACATGCACCATGGGCACAAGCACCATTGGCACATGCACCATGTATTTTGAAAAGCTGACGAGAGGGCTGCCCCGCCGTGCTGGAGCACTTGCGGTGGAAGAGCGTCATGAACGAAGAGGTGGGCACTGAAGCGGAAGGGGGGCAGCACGCGCAGCATAGGGGTGCTGGTGGCGTCCCTAAAGCGCACATACCAGGACGCCATCCACGACGCATACGTGGAGGGCGTGCCTGCCAATGATTCCTCCCTCTCCCGTCCTTCTGCCCCTCCTGCCCCTACTGCTACTCAAATCACTCCTAATGCAACGGAGCAGCAGTGGTTAGATCCCGCACGACACAGAAAAGCAGAAGGGAGCAGCACGCGCAGCAGAGGGGTGCTGGTGACGCCTCTGATTCATCCATCCTTCTCCCGTCCTTCCCTCTCCCTCTCCCTGCATTCCCCCCCTCCCGCTCCCCTTGCTACTCAGACCACTCCTAGTGCAATGGAGCAGCAGTGGTTGGATCCCGCACCACACAGAACAGCAGAAGGGAGCAGCACGCGCAGCATAGGGGTGCTGGTGGCGTCCCTCAAGCGCACTTACCAGGACGCCATCCACGATGCATACGTGGAGGGGGTGCCGCTGGGTGGTTACGACGTGGCGGTTACCAGCCTGAGCCACGAGTCAGGGCAGACGTACGGCGAGGAGAGACAGCTGGAGCTGGCTTTAAAGGAAATGTGGCTCTTATCCATGTGGTGAGCCCTTAAAGCCCTGCTTGCATGCCATAGGGTCACCACCCTGAGCCACGAGTCGCGGCAGACGTACGGCGAGGAGAGACAGCTGGAGCTGGCTTAAAGGAAATGTGGCTCTTATCCATGTGGTGAGTACCTTGAATGTACCTGCTGCCCGTGTTGTAAGCCCTTAAATCACTGAGAGCCTGCTCTCGATGTGTCAGGCCCTTAGAGTCCTCTTTGCGTGCCATGGGGTTACCAGCCTGAGCCTCGAATCTGGGCAGACGTACAGCAAGGCAGACGTATGGCGACAGCTGGAGCAGGCTTTGAAGGAGATGTGGCTCTTATCACTGTGGTGAGTGCTGGCCTTGTGGTGACAGAGAGCTGTTGGGTGGTTACAATGTGGCGGTTACCAGCCTGAGAAGACGTACGGCGAGGAGAGACAGCTGGAGCTGGCTTTGAAGGAGATGTTGCTGTCGTCAATGTGGTGGTGAGTGCTTTGAATGCACCTGCTGTCAGTGTTGTAAGCCCTTAAATCACCGGGTGGTTACGGCATGTCGGTTACCAGCCCGAGAAGACGTACGGCTAGGAGAGACAGCTGGAGCTGGCTTTGAATTGAAGGAAATGTGGGAGCTGTCAATGTGGTGTGGTGAATGCTTGGAATGCACCTGCTGTCCATGTTGTAAGCCCTTAAATCACTGAGTGCCTGCTCTCGATGTGTCAGGCCCTTAGAGCCTTGTTTTCGTGCCATGGGGTTGCTGTGAACGTGGCTGCTGTCAATGTGGTGAGCCTTCAAACTCCTTTTTGCTTGCTGTGGGGCAAAAGGTTGCGGCACGAGTAAAGAGATGCGGCTGCTGGAGCTAGGTCGGTCGTGTGAGACGGGTCTAGTTCTGAGTCCACTCAACCAGAACGAAACGAAACGAAACGAAACGAAACGAAACGAAACGAAACGAAACGAAACGAAACGAAACGAAACGAAACGAAACGAAACGAAACGAAACGAAACGAAACTCATATCACAAGAGATGCGGCTGCTGGAGCTTTTGAGTTGACTCAAAGTGGAACTAGTCGGCTGCTGGTACTGGAACAAGTTCTAAAGGAGGTGTGTGGTTCAGAACTAGTTTCAGAACTAGTTTCAGAACTAGTTTCAGCGAACTAGTTTCACAACTAGTTTCAGAACTATTTTCTTTCAGAACTAGTTTCAGAACTGGTTTCAGAACTAGTTTAAGAACTAGTTTCCGAACTAGTTTCAGAACTATTTTCAGACCTAGTTTATTTTTGAGGCGCCTGCAGCCTGCTGACACCGTACTCACTGGAATTATGCCCCGAGTTCTAAAAGAGGCACAGTATTTTGCGGCTGTCACCGTGGGGATTTGTATACGCTCGACTCTACCCTCCCCCCACCCCCACTCCCGCTCTCCCCCACTCTTTATCCCTCTCCCCAACGACCTGCTGCTAGTGAGTGACAGCTCCACCTTTGGCTACATGGCAGCAGGTCTGGCAGGAGGAAGCTCAAAACACCCGCCAGTGTGCTCGCCTCACTGCTTGCTCTCGTTCCTCCCCTCTCCCCCAGCGACCTGCTGCTGGTGAGTGACAGCTCCACCTTTGGCTACATGGCAGCAGGGCTGGCAGGGGTGAGTACAACGTGCCCTCTACTCCTCTGTTCCCCTCCCCCCCCCTCCCCCCCCCTCCACCCACCTCCCCATTCCCCCATCGTCTCCCCAGCGACCTGCTGCTAGTGAGTGACAGCTCCACCTTCGGCTACATGGCAGAAGGGCTGGCAGGAGTGAGCCCCTTCTCCCTCAACATTTCGTGTACTCTATTCCCTTCTCCCTCCTACTGTCACCCCCTCTCCCTCCCTGTCCATACCCAGCGACCTGCTGCTAGTGAGTGACAGCTCCACCTTCGGCTACATGGCCGCAGGGCTGGCAGGGGTGAGCCCCTTCTCTCTCAACGTCGTTCGCCGAATGAACTCCGACTGGGACGGAAACGGGAGGCCAGAGTGCGAGATCACAACCCCAGAGCCCTGCTACTTATCTATGCTGGAGCCACAGCAGCAGCAGATTCAGGTGGGTGATGGGTAGCATATAAGCACATGTGAGTCTCCCTTCTCCCTAAGCACTGTTCCCCGCATGAACTCCGACTGGGACGGGAACGGGCGACCAGTGTGCGAGGTCACAACGCCGGAGCCCTGCTACTTATCTATGCTGGAGCCCCAGCAGCAGCAGATTCGGGTGGGTAGATGTATTGACTACCTGTCGATCCCGGGGCCTCAACAGCAGCAGATCCAGGTGGGTGAGGGTAGGTTAGATTGAGAAGTCTCAACAGCAGCAGATCCAGGTGGGTGAGGGTAGGTTAGATTGAGAAGTCTCAACAGTAGCAGATCCAGGTGGGTGAGGGTAGGTTAGATAGAGAAGTCTCGGAACTGGATTCTGCGCAGCAGTGAGACCCTTCCCTCAACATTGTGAGGCACATGAACTCGGACTGGGAGGGGAACAGGTGGGCAGAGTGCGAGGTCACATCCCCGGAGCCCAGTTACCTGTCGATGGTGGAGCCCAGTTTCCTGTCGATGCCGGAGCCCAGTTACCTGTCGATGCCGGAGCCCAGTTACCTGTCGATGCCGGAGCCCAGTTACCTGTCGATGCCGGAGCCCAGTTACCTGTCGATGCCGGAGCCCAGTTACCTGTCGATGCCGGAGCCCAGTTACCTGTCGATGCCGGAGCCCAGTTACCTGTCGATGCGGGAGCCTCAACAGCAGCAGACTCAGGTGGGTAGCTGATTGACTACAATGGGGCTACCTGTCGATCCTGGAGCAGCAGCAGCAGATTCAGGTGGGTAGATGTATTGACTATAAAGGTGCTACCTGTCGATCCTGGAGCCTCAACAGCAGCAGATCCAGGTGGGTGGCTGTAGCGCTAATTGAAAAGTCTCGAAGGGGTGACCCCCTTTCTCTTTGACATTGTCAGGTGCATGCATTCGCACTGGGAGGGGAACGGGCGACCAGAGTGTGAGGTCACAACCCCTGAGCCCTGCAACTGGAGCCACTCCACCACCTCACCACCTACTCTCAGTGATTTTTGAGTCGACTCGATAATCACCTAAGCCGTGCTTCTGATCGATGCCGGAGCCACACCACCACCACCTCACCACCTTCGCTCCCTCTCATTGCATCCCTCATGCCCCAACACTGCTCAAGTCGACTTTTGAGTCGAGTCAAAGCAGGGCCCAAGATTGGTTTTGGGACACTCTTAGGAATCAGGGCATCACGCCCTGATCTGTAAGGGTGCCAGGGGCATATTCGGCATCAAACCAGTTTTTACCCTTACAATAACAGGGTATACTCCAAAAAGTGACCGCTGGCAAGGGTTATTAGGGTGAAATACTCTTGAATCACTGGCCCTGGTCAAAAGTCACCTAGAGGCACAACACCACCACCTCGCCACCTTCGCTCCCTCTCATTGCATTCCCCCATGCCCCCCCCACTGCCTGAGCGCCCCCCAAGTCACCTCTGATCTGGACAGCTTTCAAGGCCCATTGCTGCCCAATAGGAGTCATGCTGGATAACCCAAGCCTTCATCAGTTGTTGATGAAGGCTTTTTACAGCTGAAACTAGTTCATCCTGGTTTTAATCAAACCCACAGTTCATTCTCTTAAGCTCGAGCTGAAACTCAGAACCGCTGCCTCTCAACGCACTCAACCACCATCGCCTCTGATCTGGACAGCTTTCAAGGTCCATTGCTGCCCAATAGGAGTCGTGCTGGATAACCCAGGCCTTTATTTCTCACCACCTTCTCCCCCTCTCCTTCCATCCCCCCCCCCTCACCCCCTCCCTCTCCCCCCCTCCCTCTCATCCTCTCCCTCTCATCCCCACCCTCTCATCCTACATTCAGTGTCCTGGAGAGTCCCCCAAATCACCTCTAGACATCTCTCCCAAGGTCAAGTACTGCCCGAACTTCAACATTGGAGTCGTTCTAGATGTTCCAAATCCCAAGCAATACGAGTCCTTCAAGAGGACATAACTCGCAGATAACTGGTACGAAGTCACTACAATAAGAGTGATTGTATTGGAGAGAGCATCGGGGGGACATGGTGGAGGAGAGGATATGTGTGGCACATGGAAAGGGTGACTTTTGAGTCGACTCAAAGGGAGTCAAACATGCAACACGACGCATAGAATGCCATCAAATGATGGGGTGTGTGGTCGCTTGTGAATAGGGCTGCAGGTCATTTATTCATGACCGGTATTGTCATGACGTGTGATGTGATGTAATGATTATATGTATGCATGATCAAAACGATTTTTGAAATGTTGGTCTAGCAAGCCTGGATCCTCCACTGGTGGCAACCACACCACACCACACCACACCACACCACACCACACCACACCACACCACACCACACCACACCACACCACACCACACCACACCACACCACACCACACCACCACACCACACCACCACACCCTACCTCGCTGATAGGTGGCTGCACTGGGAGCTGGAGAAGTAGTGCAGTGGCACTTGGGCGAATTCCTTCGAAGGAGCATCACTGAAGTGGATAAGGGCAACAACGAGAAAGATAAAAGTGATTAGGTTACTGCGCATCCGGGGAATCGAACCCCGGTCAGTACCGTGGGAGGGTACTATGATACCACTACACTAGATGCGCACGACATTGTCGTCTGCAAATTGTTTTTAAAGATAATTATATAATGGTAATAGATGCATATGTGGCACATTCCTCATATTATCTTTGATGAAGCCATCTCACAAACGAAATCCAGCAGAACTTTAGTCTTGAATGTATTCTGCACCATTGAGCAGCGCTGCCTCTGCCCTTTGCAGTTCCCTCCCCAGGTAATTTGCATGGTTCAGCATTGTGACAGGTGGCATTTGTGACAGTAACGAAGCTGAAACCCCTTCTGCAGTAGTCACTGAAGCAGTTGCTGCTGCTCGTTTGCTCTCCCCCCCTGATCCGAAGTACTGCTCTAAGATCAACACACTGACCTCCTTAGCTGTTCGGCCCCTGTTTGGAGAGCAGGGGGTGCGGAGGGAGGGATGAGGGAGGAAAGAGGAGGGAGGAGGGAGGAAAGAGGAGGGAGGAGGGAGGAAAGAGGAGGGAGGAGGGAGGAGGGAGGAGGGAGGAGGGAGGAGGGAGGAGGGAGGAGGGAGGAGGGAGGAGGGAGGAGGGAGGAGGGAAACGGGAAGAACTGAAGCCGGAGAGGGTGAGAGGCAGAAAGGAATTGCAGGACTGGGGGGAGATGGGGTTGGGACATGTGAGTGGGGGGACGAAAGAGAGGGGGGGTGGATGGGAGTGGTGGAGGGAGGGAGCGAGAGAGAGAGGGGAAAGGGGGTGAAATGGAACAAGGGAGAGTGAAAGAGCAGGGGAAGGAGTAACTTGTCGGCGGACTAATCTTACCGGTAAACGCGGAGGGGCGTGGGTTTGTATGACCCATCACAGGGAATGACTTTTCCCGTTGCAGGGTCGCAAGCGCGCCCTTTATCGTCGATGAGGTTGCCGTAGTGCTGCGCCACGAGGCACTGACCCTCGCGGTCCACGTAGATTATGAAGTAGCCGGCGGGATCTAGATCCAACGGCCGGCGTGAAAGCTGATCGTCTAGCTCGCGCATGCTCTCTGGTTGGAGGCGGAGGGGGGGTGGTTGATGGGTATTGGGGGTGGGGGAGGAGGGGAGGGAGTAGGGGTGGGAGGGGAGGGGCAGGGGAGGGGGGCGAGAGTATCTGGGTGACGAAGGCACCCCTCTCTAGGCCTCTTAGGCATGGTCCTCGCGGTCCACGTAGATTATGAAGTACGCCGCCGGATCTGGATCCAACGGCCGGCGTGAAAGCTGATTGGTCTCTGGTTAGACGGGAAAGGTTGGGAGAAGATGTGGGGGAACAATCGGGGGAGGGGGAATGTGGGGGAGGGGTAATGTGGGGGAGGAACGGGAAGGGAAAGTGTTGCTACAGTTTAGGCGCGTCGACGGGAGACACGTGGCATGGAGACGGATGGGACACTGGCGCAAGGAGACGTGGCATACCAGCAAGGGACACGTGGTCGTCGTCAGATAAGTCCGTCGGAGCGAAGGGGTCAAAAGGATCCTCCTCGTCGACTGTATCCTCGCTAATAACAAATTCGTTATCGCCAAAAAACGACGCGGCATCTTGCGACAGGGAAAGCCTAGCAACATGCCGTCTCCGTCGCCTTTCACCATCGTCAACGCCGTCGCGAGTTCGCAGACCAATCAACCAGCGATGATCTTCATACTTGAAACGCAAAGAAAGCGACGCATGCGAATTCTGCGAAAATGGGCGACGGGACACGTGACACGAAGACGAGCATGCTGGCGCCGGGGTGGGAACGCGAGCGGCGCAAGGTATGGCGGCAGATGGGAGGGAGACGGCCATAGGAGCTGGCGCTGATGCCGCTTCAACTCGCTGTCTTTCGCGGGATGGAGACGCGACTAGACCTCGCGATCAAGGAACCGATATCAATCAAGCATCAATCGAAGCTCCATTTGATTGTCCCTAGTGTGAACTGATTCCTGCAGCGGGGTTGCCTCATTTTGCGCCAATTAGCATGGTTGAGTTCGGTGCGATGGGGTGGGACGATGTGCCGAATGACCCGTTTATGAATCATCCCGCTGCAATTCGTTGTTCATTTCCCTGCAATAGTTGGAATACAGAGGATATACATCGAAATGGTGTGGGCAGTAAATCCCGCAATCGAGCAAACCCCGAGCCCCGCTCCCCCACTTTCAGGGACGGAAATGCGGGGGAGGGTGGTTGCCACCAGTAGCCCCTCTCTCTCTTGCATCATAAAACCATCAGGAACTCCTCTCTGTTTCATCACTTGTTAGTAATTCGTCATTTCAGTTCATTCTGTCTCGTTAGCAGCAGCTTTTCTCCATTCACCATGAGTTGAAGACATCAACAGGGGCTGCTGCCCCTGCTCTAAGCGATCGTAAGCGCAGCACGTCGCTCGCCGAGCATGGCTGATGCTTCAAGACTACCAGGCTAAGCGGCCATTGCTTCTGAAGGAGCTCTTTTTCCGAGTACCAGCAGAGCGGTGCTCACTGCTCTAGCCCCAAACGCTTGAACGGTGCTCGATGCTCAGTGCGCCAGCCACAAACGCGTGAACGGCTGTGCATTTCTCCCTGGGAATGGTGAGTATCGGGATTTGTAGGCAACTTGTAAACGGCTCTTACTTTTTCGATCTTGTCAAGTCTTTGGGTGGCTGGAAAGTGATGATCCACTTGAACGATACCTCTGATATCCGTGATGTTTTAAACTTTGATTTGCACGTCAGACTGATTCCAAGCCCCCAGCATGTCTGAACCTTCCCATATAGATTCCTTTGAATCTATTGTTTTTTCCCCTCATATTGATCATATTCTTCCAATATGTACGAAGTTGTTTTGTGAAGAGTTGGCTTTAAGGCTTGCGGGGAATGATGATTACGATGTCGCCCCAGACTGAACAATCCTTGCTGATTCGATCTGGAAATGCCAAACACTCCGTTGGCTGACTCCCATGCCTTATGCCACTCATTGGTCCTCTAGGCTTGATGTCCCTTGATTCCTCTGAACCCTAAGCATGCTTCAGTATCCCTACTCACCTCATGCTTCGCTCCCATCTGGTGTCCTTGGTATCATTGGATCCTCGCAATCGTCGGTCTGACCTTACTTTCTGTATTTTTCTATGCTCTTGGTTGTCCCGCTTTCCTGTTCAGACGCAATGACCGACGTACCGTGGTGCAGATGCCTGCAACCAAGCGTGGCGCTGGAGCTCTGGTAGGGCTGGATGAAGAAGATAAAGCAAGGACTCGAAACGCAGATTGCCTGAAATCAATCGTCCTGGCGTATGCTTTGATATTGTAACAGATTCTGAAAACATTTGATGTCCCTCACTGCATGTTATTACAAATGGTTCTGTTGGAAATACCTCAAGCGTTTCTGAAGTGTAACACCACACTCGAGTAAGGTCGTAACGGGTACGCGAGTCAACGGAGGTTACACGAGGGGATGGACAAACAACACGAAAGGACTCGAAGGGTCGCAACTGGAGATTGCGACTGAGTTACAACTGCAAAGATGGTAACCGAAGCGTCAATCGAGTCGCTGTGCGACCAGGGCTCTCGACATCAGACAAAATCCGTCTGTTTGTCTGATTTTCAGACTCTTTTTTAGGCGTTCCTCTGATTTTTTAGAAACCTATTTCTAGAATTTCTGATGCCCTAGAAACTGAATTATAGTCCTTCTGAATTTTCAGAATGTGTGTTCTTGTTCTTCTGATTCTACAGACTTGGCGAATACGTTCGTCTGAAACCGATTACTGTGAGGTTGCATCCAGCCCCCCCAAAATCCCCGCGTGTACAGCAAATCGCGCGACAGCACGCCCAGTGGGGCATCATTACTTACAGTTTCGGCGCCAGCACAACGTCGGTGAGACAAGCGCTGAGTCATATGTTGCTCACGGTGTGGCGCCGCAGTGGGCAATTGAGTCAGCCGTGTAGTCTCATTGGCCCATCCCCTTCCAACACACAATGACTCTCCACAGTTGCCCTCAGTGCATCCATGCATTGGCAGCATCTCTCTCCCCCATTGGCTTGTCCTGTTAGACAGGGCAGAGCCCCTCCTATTGGCTTGTCCTGCTAGGTAAGGCAGCGGGGCCTCTCCAATTGGCTTGTCCTATTAGCCATTACAGCATACTCTCCCATTGGCTTGTCGCAACATGCATTCCTAGCTGGCCTCCCCACGAACCTTCGTCTTAGGGGGAACACTCTAATCTACACCATTGAAACGGCTTGCGGTTCGATGCATGCTGAAAGAGAGGTGGGGAACTCCCTGTCTTCTTCACCCTTCTCTTCGACAAGCTCCCCTGTCCGCCAGTATGCCCTCGTTTCACAATCGTTACCGCACCCATGTTAGACATGCCCCGTAGCGTATCTCACTCGTTTGCTGCGCCAATGAGTTTTAGATGGCTGGCAGCACCACTGATGACGGCGCCGCCGCCATAGCACAGCCTGTTCCTGCTACAGCACCCCTAATGAGGGGCCTGGATTTTCTACGCCAGCCTCCGCCTAGGCGAGAGACGCCAGAGGCCGTGCCCGCGCTAGCTGTTAGTTCCCCATGTCAAACATGTTTAGTTATCATGCTTGTATAGACTGTATAGGGTCATCTTCTAGAGAGTACAACAGTTAGGTATATGTTTGTGTACTCTCTCTCTCTATTCATTAATTTCACTGTTTGATATGGTATCACGCGTAGGTAGGATCCCCCCCCCCCCCCCCTCACGCTTCCGCTCGCCCCCTAGCTGGGCCCCGTCGTGCTCCTAGCCCCGTCGCGACCCTCCCTAGCCCCGTCGCGACCCTCCCTAGCCCCGTCGCGCCCCTTCCTGGGCCCCGTTGCGCCCCTTTCTGGGCCCCGTCGCGCTCCTCCCAGGCCTCGTAGCGCCCCTCCTGGGCCCCATTGCGCTCCTCCCAGGCCCCGTCGCGCCCCTTCCAGGGCTTCGTAGCGCCCCTCCAGGCCCCGTCGCGCCCCTTTCAGGGCTTCGTAGCGCCCCTCCAGGCCCCGTCGCGCCCCTTCCAGGGCCTGGTAGCGCCCCTCCAGGGCCCCGTCGCGCTCCTCCCAGGCCCCGTAGCGCCCCTCCTGGGCCCCATTGCGCTCCTTCCAGGCCCCGTCGCGCCCCTCCCTAGCCCAGTCGCGCTCCTCCCAGGCCCCGTAGCGCCCCTCCTGGGCCCCATTGCGCTCCCCCCAGGCCCCGTCGCGCCCCTACCTGGGCTTGGTAACGCCCCTCCAGGCCCCGTCGCGCCCCTACCCATCCCCGTCGCCCCTGCTCGGCCCCGTCGCCCCTGCTCGGCCCCGTCGCCCCTGCTCGGCCCCGTCGCCCCTGCTCGGCCCCGTCGCGGCCTATCGGCCGCGTGGCGCCCGCCCGGCCCCTGTCGCACCTGCCCGGCCCCTGCTCGCCCGCCCGGCCCCGTCGCCCCTGCCCGGCCCTGCTGTGGCCTGCCCGGGCCCCGTCCCTGCCGCCCGGCCCCGTCGCCGCCGCCCGGCCCCGTCGCAGCCGCCCGGCCCCGTCGTAGCCGCCCGGCCACGTCGCAGCCGCCCGGCCACGTCGCAACCGCCCGGCCCCGTCGCCCCTGCCCGGCCCTGCTGTGTCCGGCCCGGCCTCGTCCCTGCCGCCCGGCCCCGTCGCAGCCGCCCGGCCCCGTCGCAGCCGCCCGGCCACGTCGCAGCCGCCCGGCCTTGTCGCTGCCGCCCGGCCCCGTCGCCGCCGCCCGGCCCCGTCGCCGCCGCCCGGCCTTGTCGTGCCTGCCCGGCCCCGACGCACCTGCCCCGGCCCTCCATACTTCCTGGTACTGTCCCCCGTTCCCCGCACCACTTTGCACCCTCCTGCACTTTCCTGCCCCGCCTTGCATCGCATTGCACCTCACTGGATCGCACTGACCGCACTGCACCGCACTGGACCGCACTGCACCGCACTGCATCGCACTGCACCGCACTGCACTGTCCTCCACTGCCCCTCATGGCTGCTGAGCTTCGTTTTGATGTTGAGGGTCAGCCTCTGGAGTTCGAGGCGTGGTTGGCTGACCTTCGCCGCCACCTCACTGGCCAGCGGCAGGACGGCCACCCGCTTTCTGCACACCTAGACGGTATGCTCCCCTGCCCTGACCCCCCTGCTGTGCTGCCCGCTGATCCCACGCCCGCTGAGCGCGAGTCCACTGCCGCTGCTGCCCTTGCCCGCTCTGTCTGGCTTTCCCGCGATGCCCTTGCTCAGCTCGCCATTAGCAATGCCCTCCCCCCCACTGAGCGCCCTCGCTTTAGAACCATTCCTACCGCCCAGGCCTACCTCGATGCTGTCATCAAGCGCTATTCTACCCCTCCTGCTGCCTCAGTGGGTCGCCTGATCCTTCCCCTGCTCTTTCCTGACCTGGCGTCTTTCCCCACTGTCTCTGACCTCGCTGCCCACCTGCGCTCGATAGATGAGGCCTGGCGCGCTGCCTGCACTGATGCTCAGCTTAGAGTCCACCAGCCTCCCATGACCTCTACCCTCTACCTCCTTGCCACCCGCCTACCTGACCGCCTTGCCGCTGCCCGCGACCAGTTCCTTAGCATCCACCCTGCTGCTCTCACCCTCACCGACTTTGTTGACACCCTGACTGCCATAGAGACTCGTCACCGCTCCATAGCCCTGGCGAGCGGTACAGTACCGGTCCCTATCTTTCAGGGTTGTGCCCCCGCTCAGTGTACCTTCTCCGACGGCTCTGTCGCTGTGGCTGAGACTGCTGCTGCAGTGCAGTCCCGCTCGGCGAAGGGCCGCCGCCCCAAGGTTGGGAGCGGCGGAGGCGGCGGGGGTGCGGGTGGGGGTAGTGGTGGAGGCGGGTCGTCCGGTGCCGGTGCGGACGTGGGGACCCTGCCCGGTCCAGCTGCCCCGCTGCCTCCACAGTTGCAGCAGCCGCAGCAGCAGCAGTCGCCGCAGCCGCAGCCTTCGCAGCAGCCGCAGCAGCCGCCGCAGACAAGGCAGGCGAGTACTCTCCCACCTGGGTGGCCTGGAGCTGGTGGTGGTCGTGCGCGTGGTGGTGCACCGGGTGGTGGTTCTGGAGGCGGGCCCTGTCAGTACCAGATCCAGACCGGTCCTCGCCGCGGCTTCGTTTGCGGTAAGATCGGTCATTCTACTCCTCGCTGTTTTCGTCGCCTGGACGACCTGTTCCGCCAGCGCTTTGGCCCGGCGCCCGACCTCCCGGACTGGCACAGCTTGCTTAGGCGTAGCATTAGGATTTTTGACTTGGACATGGATGCCATTGTAGCGGCCTTGCATGTGATGTATGCTGATGACTCTAGTGTGCTTCCCTCTTATTACCCCGTGTTGCCTAGTGTAGCGGTGCCTAGCGTAGACTCCCCTGCTGCGTCAGGCGTAGGATCTCCTGCTTTGCTTAGCCTTGGTGCTTCCACCGCTTCACTGCTGCCTCGCGCGACTGCTGCGCTTTCCTTCACCTTGGACTCTGGCGCCTCCCGGTGTTTCTTCCGCGACTCCACGACGCTGACGCCGCTGCCTGTTCCCGCTGCAGTTACTCTTGCTGACCCCTCCGGTGGTCCCGTCGTTGCCCGCAGTTCCACCTCCCTTCCCTGTCCGGCGGTTCCTTCGGGCACTCTCACAGGTCTGCATATCCCCTCGTTCTCCAGGAACCTAGTTGGTGTCGGCTGCCTCCAGGACCTTGGCGTCACCACTACGTTCCCTGGTCACGAGCGGTATGCTGTCTGTACCGAGGCCGCCACTGGTGCCCCCCTTACCACTTTCCCCCGGGACCCGGTGTCCGGCCTGTTCACACTTGACACCGCGCCGTCCCCGGCTGGGTCTTCCCCCCCGGTAGCTGCGTCCACCCAGGTTGCAGCCGCGTGCTCCTGTCGGTCCCTCACTCACCCGACTCTCCTTTGGCACCACCGCCTTGGTCACCCTGCACTCCCACGTCTGCGTCACATGTCCCAGCACGGTCTCGTCCTTGGTCTCCCCGGTTCGTTCCCCGAGTTTCCCTCCTCCCCCGCCCCACCGTGCACGCCTTGTGTCGAGGGCCGGCTCCGCCGTGCCCCTCACTCCTCCTCTTTTCCCCCTACCACCGCACCACTGCAGACTCTGCACATGGACGTCTGGGGCCCAGCCCCGGTCCATGGGCCGCGTCGCGAGCGCTTCTTCCTAGTGCTTGTCGACGACTTCACGCGCTACACCACCGTCTTCCCCCTGGAGCGGAAGGCCGACGTGCCTGACGTTCTCATCCCCTGGCTTGTCTCTGCTCGTGTCCACCGCGGTCTCCCTGCCTTGCGCCTTCACTCCGACCGGGGTGGCGAGTTTGCCTCAGGTGTCCTTGGTCGCTTCTGTCGTGCGGAGGGCATCACCCAGACGTTTACCCTGCCGGACTCCCCGCAGCAGAATGGGGTCGCTGAGCGACGCATCGGTTTGGTCATGGAAGTGGCTCGCACCTCCATGATCCACGCCAGTGCACCCCATTTTCTGTGGCCGTTCGCCGTGCGCTACGCCGCTCACCAGCTTAACCTGTGGCCGCACCCCCAGCGGCCGCAGGTTTCGCCGACCCTTCTGTGGACCGGGTCCCCTGGTGACGCGTCTGCGTTCCGCGTCTGGGGCTGCCTTGCTCACGTTCGTGCCTCTGGCACGGACAAGCTCACTGCCCGCACCCTCCCCTGCGTCTTCCTCGGTTTCCCCCTTGACGCGTCCGACTGGCACTTCTACCACCCGCCGTCTCACCGCTTCTTTCACTCTCGCGACGTCACCTTTGACGAGTCCGTCTCCTTCTACCGCCGCTTTCCCCACCGTGGTCCCCCGGTTACTCCCCCCCTTTTCCTGGTTCCTCCCTCCCTGGTGGTCCCTGCCCCTCCCCCCCCCCCGCCCCCCCGTCCGGCCCCCTCTGGTGTGTCTCACGTCACCCCCCTCCCGTCGGTCGTCCCGGTCGACGAGTCTTCTGCCTCTGGTAGTCCTCCGGCGCAGTCCTCGCCGTCTGTCCCTCCCCCGGTGTCTCCTCCTCCACCGCCTCCGCAGCCGCCGTCGCCGCAGCTGCTGCAGCCGTCGTCTCCACCGCCGCCGCCGTTGCAGCCGTCGTCTCCGCCGCCGCCGCCGTCGCAGCCGTCGCTGCAGCCGCCGCCGCCGCCGCCGCCGTCGTCGCTGCCGCCGTTTGTGGACTCTGGGGGTGTCCCTTCTGGGGGTGCAGGTGTGGAGGGTTCGGGAGGTAGCCGTCGCGCAGCTTGTGGCCCTGGTGTTGGTGTTGTGTCGCCGCAGCAGCAGTCCCCGCCTGTGTCCGCCCTCCGTCTGCTCGGCCTTCCGTCTCCTGACCCTGCGCCTGTTCCTCTCCTGCCGTCTCCCCCTCTTCCCGTCTACGGCCCCGTGTTCCCTCTGCCAGACTCGTCCCCGGCTCGTCTTCCCCCTCGTTCCCCTCCTGTGTCCCCTCCTCTGTCTCCTGACCCGACGCCGCCCTCACACGTCTGGTCCCGCCGCCCCTCTCGTGCTCGTCCTGTCTCCCCTGTCCCGCGCTCTCACCCTATGTTGCTCCGTTCCCACGCGTCTCGACCTCCCCTCCTCCCGTCTCCTCCTCCGTCTTCTCTTGTCGTTGCGTCTCCTCCTCTGTCCGACTTCTTTCGTGCCGCTCGTCCTCTTGTTCCTCGGGTCCTTGCCTCTCTCGTTACCGACCCGTCTGTTCCCGTGTCGAGTCTTGACGCCCTCGTCGCTGCGGTCGCTGACTTCGCCTCTACCCGCCGCCTTGACTACGCCACCGCTCTGGTCTCTCACCCTGCCTGTCCTCCGTCTGTCGGGGGTGCTCCTGCCCTCGGCAGTGACGTCCTGGAGGACCGCCAGTTTGAGCTTGCTTTCCTGTCCGAGGCTGCTCCCCATCTCTGTTCCATGCTGCTAGTCCCTGAGGGTGACCCAGACGCTTTCGACATCCCGACCCCTCGTACTTACGCTGAGGCGGTTTCGGGACCCTGGGCCTCTCAGTGGATAGCTGCCATGGAGCAGGAGATGGCATCTTGGAGATCCACCGGCACCTTCGTCGACGCAGTTCCCCCACCTGGGGTGAACGTGGTCGATGGCCGTTGGCTCTTCAAGGTGAAGCGCCCTCCTGGAGAGCCGCCTGTGTTCAAGGCGCGCTACGTGGCTAGAGGCTTCAGTCAGCGCGAGGGTGTGGACTTCTTTCAGACTTTCGCTCCTACCCCGAAGATGACTACTCTTCGGGTGCTGCTACACGTAGCGGCTCAGCGTGACTACGAGCTTCACTCCCTCGACTTCTCCACTGCCTTTCTTCAGGGCAGCCTTCACGAGCAGGTCTACCTGCGTCGCCCTCAGGGCTTTACTGGCACCTTCCCCCCTGGGACCCAGTGGCTTCTGCGGCGGCCAGTCTACGGCCTGCGCCAGGCGCCTCGTGAGTGGCACGACACTTTGCGTGCTACCCTTGCTGACCTGCAGTTCTTTCCGTCCTCTGCAGACCCCTCGCTCTTCGTTCGTGCTGGCTCGACTCCGTTCTACATCCTCGTCTACGTAGACGACCTGGTCTTTGCCACTGCTGACAGGGACGCACTGGCCTCCGTGAAGGCAGAGCTGCTGAAGAGACACACCTGCACTGACCTTGGAGAGCTGCGTCGTTACCTTGGCTTGCAGATCTCCAGGGACAGAGCCGCGCGCACCATCACCCTGACTCAGTCACACTTGGTGCGCCAGGTCCTTCAGAGGTTCGGCCTTCAGTTCTCCTCCGCACAGCCCACCCCTCTTCCTCTGGACCACAGACTCTCCGCTCCAGTTCCTGAGGAGTCGGTAGATCCCAGTGGTCCTTACGCTGAGCTAGTGGGTTGCCTCATGTACCTGATGACTTGCACTCGCCCAGATCTCGCATACCCTCTCAGCATCCTGGCTCGTTTCGTGGCCACAGGCAGGCACCGACCTCAGCACTGGTCTGCCGCTAAGAGGGTTTTGCGTTATCTTGCAAGTACATCGGGCATGGGGTTAGTGCTAGGCGGACGCAGGCCAGTGGTCCTTACTGGACACACAGACGCTTCTTGGGCAGACGACGCCGAGACGCTCAGGTCTTCCCAGGGCTACTGCTTTAGCCTTGGTTCAGGTGTTGTCTCGTGGAGAGCTACCCGCTCTTCGTCTGTTGCCCAGTCCAGCTGTGAGGCCGAGATCTACGCCGGTGCCATGGCGGCACAGGAGCTCCGCTGGCTGACCTTCTTGCTCACTGACTTAGGTGAGCGGCCTAGCTCTGCCCCGGTCCTGTACGCTGACAACAGGGCCATGATCCTCCTGTGTCAGGAGCCTCGACTCGAGGGCAGAGCGAAGCACATCCAGCTGCGGTACTTCCTCCTGCGTGAGCTACAGCAGCGTCGCCAGGCTCGCGTAGTACACTTAGCCTCCGGTGCCAACACAGCTGATATCTTTACGAAGGCGCTTGCGCCTAAAGATCATCAGCGGCACTGTGTACAGCTTGGTCTGGTTCCTGTAGTCTCTCACTTACTCGGGCCTTTACTCTGTACTGTCCTATATATCTGTGTGTACACTCAGACTGGACTTGTGTCCTCTTACAGTGGTTGGACTAGTAGTGCCGCCCTGTACTAGTTCTTGCCTTGCCTGTACTCCTTCTGACTGGTCTTTTAGACCCTTGTCTCAGAGGCTGGACTAGTAGTGCCACCCTGAGCTGCTTGTCTAGAACATTCCCCTATGCAGTCCAGGGGGTGTGTCAAACATGTTTAGTTATCATGCTTGTATAGACTGTATAGGGTCATCTTCTAGAGAGTACAACAGTTAGGTATATGTTTGTGTACTCTCTCTCTCTATTCATTAATTTCACTGTTTGATACCCCAGCCTTGCCTCTGCCTTTCTCTGACTTACTCCCGGACATTGATGCTGAGCCTTTGCTCGCATCCACTCCTGCTGCCTCTCCTAGCTCTCCCATTACTTCCGCGGGGATCCCTTCGCCTCCACTCTCAGTAGCCGCGATCCCAGCGCTGCCTTCAAGACTGCCCGCTGGAAGGTACACGCAAAGCACCATTCGATTTGCGCGTACCCGAGTTCCTCACATCAGGCTAGAGACTTCCCGACCTGCTGCTGATGCAACGCCATCTGCGACCCAAGAGGCGGGAACGTCTGCTTCAGCCTCTGATCCGACGCCGAGCACGGGAAGCCACTCTCGTCTCATCCCCGACCCCGATGCACTTCTTGCAGAACTGAAGGCGAAGGCCGAAGAGCAGTGGGTGCGAAAATTCCCCTGGCTGCTCATCGACCAACGCCCCGACGGACGTCCGTGCATGAAGTGTCGATTGTGCATGGCGCATGCCCCTCCGAAGTGGCAGTACGGCAAATACGGCAATGGAGGTGTCGACATTCAGAAGCAGACTATGGTGAAGCACTCCCAAAGCAAGAAGCACGAGGCTGCGGAGGATCGGCAGAAACAGTTGGATGGTCTAAACGCTGCGCAGCCGAGCATTGCCGATTTCAACGACAATCAGGGAGCCGACGCGCGGCTTAGGCAGTTGATGATTGTTGTGCTTTGGATTTGCAAGTCTGATGCTTCTATTGCCATGTTTGTTTCTCTGGTCCGTCTTCTCTATGACCTCCGCACTCCCCACATCCCCGAGAAATCCCCCGGGTCTTACCAATCTGAGTAAGTTGGGCTCTGCAATCGTTTTGGTCAACTCTAATGTTAAAAACTCTCTAACCATTGATTTTTTTCCTGCTGCAGGTACGGCTTCAAGCAAATCACAGAAGCACTCGTCGTTTACCTTCGAGCACAGCAGATGAAGCACATTCAACAGTCGCCGTTCGTGGGCATCCAGCTCGACGAGAGCACCGATAGGAGGCGGGGTAAACACATGATTGTGTACCTCACCTTTTTGAAGAACGCGAAGGTGGTGACCGAGTTTTTCGGGCACCTAACAGTTGAGAGGTGTGATGCGACCTCTCTACTGACGCTGCTGCTGGACCACCTTGAAGCCACTGCCGTAGACCTGAACAAAATCAGTGGCATCAGCACTGATGGAGCCAGCGTCATGACGGGGGCGAACTGGGGCCTTGTCGCTCAGCTCCGCGCCAGGGTCCCGCATCTCGTGCCCTGTCATTGCATCGCCCACAGGTGAGATTGTTGAATCATACAGTTGTATGGTGGTACCCTGGCATCCAGAAACATCGCTAATCCTAGTTACGTGCTCTTTGCAGAGAGGCGCTCGCGGCTAAGGACGCTGCCAACGATTGTCCTGACCTCGAGATCGTCGACAAAGTCGTCCGAAGCCTAGCCGACATCCTTGGCCGCTCCATTGTCGTGCACTCAAGATTCCAGGAGCTGCAGAGTTTCATCCACGACACGACACTCGAAATGTAGGGTATCAAAGACATTCGCTGGTTGTCTCGCGGTGATGCCATTCAGCGTCTCGTGCAAGTCTTTCCGGCTGCAGTGTTGCTGTTGTATGAGTTAGATGATGACATGTACCATGTCGTTAGCAGCTTTAAGTTCCACTTTCTTCTGTTTTTCCTGGCTGATGTTCTTAAGGAGCTCAACAACTTGAACAAGAAGTTCCAGCGCCGTGCGGTGAGTGTTTGCCCTGCGTGCGTTTTATATCTTGTTCCTAAAACTTATAAACTCTGCTGTCCCTTCAACTAATTTACCTTATGCCCTTCCCACAGGTCGACATCACCAAGGTGGCCCAGCTAGTAGAGAACACATGCAGCATCCTCCGCTCTCGCTACGTAGAGTATGGCGTCAACTTCGGCGAGGATTCCAAGCTACTCACCGAGTTTTTGGAGGAGCATGGCCCGAAGAACAAGCGGATGGTGACAGTGGAGGGCATTGACGGCGCTGGCAACCCGACGGCTCACACCTTTAAGCTGCACGAGAAAGCTCTGTCAGGCCAGAAGAGTGAGGGAGACATGGAGTCATGCATCTCCCTTGTCACCCTTTTTGTGCAGGCCATCATCCGCAACTTGGAGTCGCGGATGGAGAGCCTCAACAGTCTCCGTGGGTCGAAACTGTTCTTCCCCGACGCTTACCCCGACTCCGTTGCAAAGCGCGACCGTCTGTGCGCTGAGTGGTTCGGTTCACTGAAGGTCCTTTTCAACGCCGAGCAGTGTGCCTTGCCGGGTGAGGATTTCTTCACTCAACCTTACATTAACCATGCACATGGAAGCCCTCACCCCCCTCCCACCTTGTGATGTGTCAGGCTGTGACTTAATGACTTGTGGTTATTTCCCTCCCTTGTTCAGGAGTTGATTGGGGCAAGGCGGAAAGGGAGCTGCCTCGATTCACGCGCATGCTCCACGGTCATTACAAGGATACGTCATTCCACAACTGCTTGAAGAACATTCTCAGATCCGAAGACTGGCGCACCTCCTACCCCAACCTCGTCCGCTTGTGGGTGGCTATTGCTGTTCTGCCTCTCAGCACAGTAGAGTGCGAGCGTGGCTTCAGCCGCCAGAACATCATTAAGTATTGGTTGCGTGTAAATTTGTGCGATGCCCGACTGACCGACTTGATGTGCATTTCGTTGTTAGAGTACCCGATGATGTGGGAAGATGTCATGGCTAATTTCCGTGCTTCAGTGCAGCGGCGGCAGGCAACAAATGTCGTGATGCCCCCGGCTGAGCCGCCTCTCAGCCAGAAGAGGAAGAAAGACAAGGCGGTCAGCAAGAAGATGAAGAAGCGTCTTAAGAGCGATGATGAGGCCGTAGATGTGCGCGGCACTATAAATGTAGATTGTGATTCTGATTAGGTAAATGGCTTAATGATGTGGTGAAATATCATTGTGGCCTAATGATTAGGTAAAAAATTTAGAAATGTTAAGCCGAAACTTCTGATCTCGTAGAAACTCTACTCTAAAACCTCTGATTATTCAGAAACTGAAAGATCGGGCTTCTGATGATCAGACGGGCCCGAGGGGCCCGTCTGATCGCCTAGAAAGTGGAAAATGCCTAGCGAGAGCCCTGTGTGCGACTCGATAATCGTTCTTTCAACTGTATTCTACAACTGCTTTACTTTCCTACTTTCTATATATTGTTGTATGCTTGTTCTTTTAATCAATCAGTTGTTCTCATACACTAGTACAAGGGTTCAACTACCTCAACTTCCGCTGCACTACTCTAGTCTTTTACAACTGGGACTTAGTCTCTGGAAAGATCCTAAGGGCATTTCTCAGCCCAACATGGTATGAGAGCTGGTCAGAAACCAAACTCCCAGCAACTACGCTCTATCTACAATCAGCACACCAACGACTTCATTGATTACAAGTCATGGTCAGCAAGGGCAAGAAAACCTCTACGGGCTCACCCAGTGCCCAAGATACTCAACCCGGCAACTTTGGACTGCACACTTCAGGACAGCAAACCGAGACTGGCGCTGTTCAAGAAACAACAGGAAGAGCACCAGAAATGATGACCCCATCACCCTCTTCAAGCGTGGACCCGAACCTTATGGAAAGGTTCTTCAGCTTCATGTCACACTTCGACCAGCAGCAGCAGACAAGGACATCTGCGCATTCAACACAAAGCAACGGAGGAAACAAGGGATTAGCGCCAATGAGTCTCGACAACTCATCGTTCGGGCGACACAATCAAGCGCCTACCTTTGCGCCTTATCACTCTTCACCAAGGACGTTCGAGTTCATGCCGCCCCGTGCCCAACCAACAGCAGCTGCATCACAACAGACACCAAACGAGATTTTAAGTCTCCAGGCGCAGTTTTCACACGTGATTAAACTGCAGACATCCTCACCATTCAACGGACACGATTTCTTTATCTGGAGTTTTGAGTTCGAGCTGCTGATGGAGGCTGCGCATCTCTTGGGATACTTCAACGGGTCCCTGCCATTCCCAAGCAACGGCACTGCAAAAGAACAAGAAATCTTCACGTATCAGTCGCTGCTGGCGTACACAGTTCTCCTACGGAACCTGTCACCACAAGAACAGCAAAGCATCAGAACGTATAGGAGCTACGGAAACTCCGCGGAACTCGCATGGCATCACCTCAAGTGCCTCTATCAAGCAAATGACAGCGTGACACAAAGCAGACTCATGCAGCAGCTGACAACAATACAGATGAAGACCGGGGAAAAAGCGATGCAGTATATGAGTCGATGCCAGACAGTCCGCGACCGCCTGCTTCGGTGCGGAGGAACAATCACTGAAGAAAGCTTCGTAACGCTTGTCCTCGCTGGGCTCGGGCTAGAATGGCGAACCACTCGCTCGCTCCTTCGTGCCCACGGCCGAATCTCGGAGATGCACCTCTGCGCCGAGCTCCATGCTGAACAACAGGAGATGGACCTGTATGAAGAAAGACAACCAAGGAAACAACAACCATTCGTCTTCTACACTCAACGAAGACACGACAACAACTACAACCGACGCGGCAGGCAAGATCAACGCGACAACAGAGGACTCACCATTGTACCGCCGTACTGCCACAACTGCCAAACATCCGGACACTCCAAAGTCAACTGCATACGTCCCCGAGCTTATCGTCCAGTAGACCCACAAGTCGCTTCCACTCAAGTAAGTCCGCCGAGGCACTCTTCCACATCTGCACAAAATACACCGAATATCATCAACTGCATGGTACACATCGACAACTGCGCACCCGGATCACCGCCAACTTACGCTCCCGATGAAGAAGAACTATCGCCGCCGCGCTCACAGGGACTTCAGGTCAACCCAACGTACGCTGCAGTCGCGAACTCCGAACCCACCGGACGCAACACTTGGTTCTTGGACAGCTGTTGCGGCCAACACATGTGTTTTTCCGGGCGGTTCGTGCAACGAGAACGACGTCTCAACCGAGACGTCATCATCACCGTCGCCAACAAGGAGAACCTGAAGACAAGCAGACAAGGAGTGGTTCAGTTACAATCCATGGAGACAAACGTTATACTGCAACTCAACAAGGTCCCCATCGTCAACAACTTGGGATACAACTTACTAAGCGTAAGCCAGTTAATGGCACAAGGAATTCACATGGAGTGCGACTCGGACTCCAACGAATTTCGCCTATACCACGGGAAGGGCGGTCTCTTCATCGGTCGCGCTCTACTAAAGTCCGGCGTCTTCGTGTTGGACTTCGTCCCCGACCGCGGTACCGCCGATAGCGATGGCATCGTATCATTCGCCGCATGGACGCACCCACCGGACCTTGACCCCGACTTCAACCAAGATGGATACTGGTACTCCAACACCATACATGCAGCAGAAAGAACACGGGCGTTAGCAATCATCAGACAAGAAAGACAAGTACCAGCAAGCGTCTCTTCCCAGACATCACCTGCAGTAGCAGCAGCAGGACCCAGCCGAGCACCATCACCAGCGATCCGAGGACCGCCAACCGAAGCAGATCAACTTATGCCCATCACACGCGAAGTCTGCCGAAGTCCCGCCACGGTCGTCGCGTTCTTCTCCAACGCCGACATCTACCAACGCTTGCTTGGCCATCGCGCCCCCGACGATATCTAGCACCAACGCCTTGGGCATCCTGCAAACAGCACGGTACTACAAACTATCCAAGCCGAAGTGGTAGAAAGAAACGCTCTTCTTACAACGAGCGGCCAAGAACTTCGACGACCACGCGCACAGTGCTTCACGTGTCCCGAAGCCGATCTTCCTCACCAACCTTTTCCATCACATCACAACCCAAGCGCACCTGCATACGCACCGATGGAAAAAGTTTACAGCGACATCTTAAACATGCCTCGAGACGACACTGAAGCCGACTTCAACTATGTCATCACGTTCATCGATCCAGCAACAAGATATGTCTGGCACTACAACCTCAAGACGCGGGATCAAGCTTTCGAAGCCTTCACGACGTGGCTCCCCATCGCTGAACGAGAATCAGGAACCAAGCTCAAGAGCTTCCAGTCAGATGGCGCACTGGAATACCAGTCACAACGATTCAGGAACTACTTGGCGGAAAGAGGAATCAGACGCCTGGTGTCTCTGCCCTACGCTCACCAGCAGCAGGGAGTCGCAGAAAGAATGAACCGGACCTTGCAGACGATGATGCGAAAGCTACTCCTGGGGATGAGACTGCCCAACACACTGTGGCCAGACGCGATGACACATGCAGTCCACCTGCACAATCTGTTGTCATCGTCATCCCTTCCCAACAACGCATCACCACACCTGCTGTGGACACGAAAAAGGGGCAGCACAAAATTACATCGAGTTTTCAGCTGCATGGTACAGTACAGACCCCACACAGCCCGAGCAGGACGCTTCACTCAACGAGCACGGTGGGGACTACACCTCGGCATCGCCGAACATTTTCACGCATGGAAAATCCTCGACATTCAAGACAAAAATACGGTGGCATCACGTGATGTTATCTTCTACGAGCGACTAACGCTGCAGCATTACCTGGACAATATTGCCAACACACACGACCCCACCGACGGCCTCGCGGGCCTTCGTTCCTTCGCCGACCGTGCTGCCGAGGCTGACGCAGCAGAAGAAGACGTACCTGGAGCCTCGGAAGCTGCCGGACTACTCCCTTTCTGTTCTGTACCTGTTCCACTCGACGAAGACAATCCTCTCGATAGCAACAACCTCGACACCCTCTACCACTTCGCTGACCAAGGTTACGCTACACCTCACCCGGTCGACACGAATATCTCAGAACGCATCGGCCCCAACTTCTTACCTGATCCAGAAGATGGTGACGAAGCAGCCTATTCCGGGAATGAAAATTCCCTTCGACACACACCCACGGGACTGCAAATCCTCGGCTTATGGGTCTCCATCCGGCACCCGCCGCCGCCATCTCCGCGCGAGCCAACGACTCTGTCGCAGGCTCTGGGGGGGGAACATAAGGCGAAATGGAAGGAGGCAATGGAAAAAGAGCTGAAGGCCCTGCAAGACCGAAACACGTGGAAGCTGGTACCTGCAACAAAAACCAACGGGAAAAACGTGCTCTCGGGAAAGTGGGTGTACCGCATCAAGACTAATGCGGACGGCTCCATCGAACGATTCAAGGCTCGCTGGGTCGTACGAGGATTTGATCAACGATACGGAATCGACTACACAGAAACATTCGCCCCAGTCTCTCGTCACACCTCCTTGCGCATCCTAATCGCCGTCGCGGCCACAAAGAAACTACCACTGCGCCAGATCAACGTCGCAAATGCCTTCCTGTACGCACCTGTGGACGCCGAAATCTTCGTCGAGCAGCCCCACGGATTCATTGACGACCCCACAAAAGTATGCCAGCTGATAAAATCCCTTTACGGGATCAAGCAAGCCTCGCGGCTCTGGCAGCAGCATCTTCACGGTCGCCTCGTCAGAGTCGGATTCCTACAGCTGCCGCATGACCAAGGCATGTACCGACTGCAGAAGGGAAGAGAGTATATCCTACTCATCGTTTACGTCGACGACCTGCTCTACATCGGTTCCACTACCGACATCGCCACCTGGTTCGAAGGGGAGCTGAAAGAGGACTTGACACTCACGGTGTCCGACACAGTGACCCAGTACCTGGGTCTGAATGTCGTCGAAGACAACTCGGCGTTCTAACTATACGCTGGAAAGTACGCAGGCGTTGTCGCAAAGTAGTTCGGACTAACACCAACTACAGTCGCGACTCCCTAACACTACGGGAACAACAACGACACCTCCGAAAAACTCCCCGCAAAGCAAATCCGGGAGTATCAGCAGAAGCTCGGCTGCCTACTATTCGCAGCAGTAACCTGCGGACCTGACCTATCCTACAGCGCAAGCCAACTGGCGACGCATCTGAAGCAGCCGGAACAAGAAGATCTCGAAGAACTAAACCGGGCACTACTCTACTTCGTCTCTACGCCGACGACCGGACTTACCTACAGCAAAGTAACAACACCATCCATACAACTACTCGGATACGTCGACGCCGACCACGCGGGGGACAGGGAAAATCGACGATCAAGAACGGGCTACATCTACCGACTAGAACCTATCGGGACTATCTCATGGCAGTCGAGCAAACAGGAACTAATCGCACTATCTTCGGCTGAAGCAGAATATATCGCCCTCTGTATTGCGACCAAGGAAGGACTCTACCTGTGAGAGTTACTTGAGGAAGCAAAGATTGCGACCCTGCCCGTCTTCTCACTCCTCTGCGACAACCAATCGCGAACAAGGACGGCTTCGCCAACCGAACCACGCACATCGCCCTGCGATACTTCTTCGTCAAGGATGAAATCGCGAAGGGGAGACTTCAACTCAGTTACTGCCCTACGACAGAAATGGCCGCAGACTACCTGACGAAGAAACTGGCAAAGGCAAAGTTCGATTACTGCATGCTGCTGACTGGGCAGACAAACGTCGCCGGATCTGAACACGTCAACACTCCAGAAACGAAGGGGAGTGCTGGAAATACCTCAAGGACTTAAGCGTTTCTGAAGTGTAACACCACACTCGAGGAAGGTCGTAACGGGTACGCGAGTCAACGGAGGTTACACGAGGGGATGGACAAACAACACGAAAGGACTCGAAGGGTCGCAACTGGAGGTTGCGACTGACAGTTACAACTGCAAAGATGGTAACCGAAGTGACAATCGAGTCGCTGTGCGACTCGATAACCGCTCTTGCAACTGTATTCTACAACTGCTTTACTTTCCTACTTTCTATATATTGCTGTATGCTTGTTCTTTTAATCAATCACTTGTTCTCATATACTAGTACAAGGGTTCAACTACCTCAACTTCCGCTGCACTACTCAAGTCTTTTACAACTGAGACTTAGTCTCTGGAAAGATCCTAAGGGCATTTCTCAGCCCAACAGGTTCGAAGAGTCATGAAGCCCAAGCGTTTTGAGATACAAGTGCTCTTCAGTATGCCTAACCAAACGCTGCGATAAAATTTCGTAATTGATGATGGCACGCACATTAAAGCCCGAGTTCAGAATGGTTTGCCTTCAAGTTCAGGATTTCTGAACTTGTTATCGTGGAAAAAAGGGTAACCCGGTTTAGCGCATGCCAATCTCGTGACCCTGGGGAGCAGTGAACATAGGTTGTTGACGATTGGGCTGTTCCGCTGAAGGCAAAAAGCTTGCGAGCGCCGCAGCAAAAGACAACACTGGAGAACACTGTTCCCACTCAGGATTCTTGAACACAAACTGGACCAAACTGAACACATTTCCAAGGAGCCTGCATGCGTATAACTCCCTCGTAGCTCTCTGCGCCGCCACATACTCGCCATCTTCCCCGTCTCCAGCTGACGCCTAAACACCACACCTGTCAAGCACGGGTACACCCACCACTCTGGAGCATTATCGAGTTGAGCGCGAGCGTGACACGCAGCCCCGCAATAGCCCGTCGTCTGCTCCGCGATGTCGTGGAACCTTGGCCGATCTGCCATCGGCCCACTGCTGCAGAGAGGAGACTTGGCCAGAGGCATGTATGCGACAGGCCCCAATAGCCTAGCCTGCCCCTTCCTTGCCCGCTATCCCAGCAGCACCCGCTATTCCCCGAGCCCACACCCCCCCCGCCCTCGAGTCCCTCGCCCGCTATTCCCTAGCCCGCACCTCCCTTGCCTGCAATTCCATCGCCCGCTTTTCCCTACCCCGCGCTTCCCTTGCCCGCAATTCCCCCGCGCGCTATTCCCTACCCCATGCTTCCCTTGCCGGCATTCCCCCCGCGCGCTATTCCCTACCCCGAGCTTCCTTTGCCCGCAATTTTCCCGCCCGCTATTCCCTGCCCCGCGCATCCCTTGGCGGCAATTTTCTCGCCCGCTAGTCCCACCCCGCGCTTCCCTTGACTGCAATACCATCGCCCGCTATTCCCTACCCCTCACTTTCCTTGCCCACAATTTTCTCCCCCGCTATTCCCTCCCCCGCGCTTCCCTTACCCGCAGTTCCCCCGCCCGCTATTCCGCTGAAGTGGATGGCGGATAGGCGGTGGGAGAGAGAATACGCAGGGGGGTCGGAGGGGAATAAGATATGTGGAAGAAGGGGAGAGGGGCGGTGAGTGAGAGTGCGGGGGCAAGAGGAGGGAGGGGGAGAATGAGTGGCACAGTGGTGGTGGAGCCCCCGATTTAGGAGGGGCAAAAGGGGGAGCAGAAGGATGAAAAAGTGGAGAGGGGAGCGGATGGCCTGTGTGAAGAGAGAGACGGACAATTGAGGGGCGGACGATGGGGAGAGGAAGGACCACGGCCCGAGGGGAAGAGGAGAGGGGTGAGGTAGCGAGTGAGGAGGGGGGGGGGAGGAGGGGAATGTGCGTGAGGGCAGGGGATAGCGAAAGGGAGATGATGGTGAGGAGGGGGAATGGGGTTAGAGAGCCTTGATGAAAGAGGGGGAAAGCGTAGGGGATAGCATAAGGGGTGCACAGAAAGGGCAGACAGGTGGATTGAACAGCGGTAAGGGCCGCTGACAGAGTGCAGGGGAGTGAGACAGGGATCTTTCAGGGTATGTAGAAGCGTGGGGGATGTTATAATCACAATAGGCTTAGATGTGCCTATAATGAGAGATAGAGAGCACAGTCGGATTTCCGTCAGACGGCTTCAAATATTGATAACGATCTGGTCACTGAATCAAACGGTGATCTGTAAGTTGGATCTGGAGCGTGTTGCTGTCGTTTATCAGCAGCAAGTTGAATCATGAAATTTCATGAAGATTTGACGACGCTATGGCGGTTTGACTGGCAGGAGGTATAGCAGCCACAATAGTCTTAGGAGTACAAACTTAGCAAGAAGAGTTCGAGAGGGAGATGGTTCCCAGCCTCTACATACCCCAAGAGCCGAGGTCTAGGTTGGTGGTACACCACCACAGAGTTCCCAACCATGAAGAGTCTCGAAACCAAACCTCCAAGGGGCTACACCAAGTGAAATGTAACACTACACGAAGTAACGTTACTATTTTCACTATTTAATATTTATCCGCGTCCCTTGGGCTTGAAATCTTGAGCTCTTGTTCTTGGATCTGCAAGATAAATTCTTCTTGAGTTGATGGGGGCTTGCTGCACACACCTGCGACGTGATGAACACTTCACACTCGACAAAATAGAAAAAGCACATGCGACACACAAACGACGACTTGACATGCGAGTTGTAAAAACTCGCTAATGTCTTGACCGACACAAACCACATTGTGATACACCATTCAAACACACACACAAGCACTGGATAGCAATGACATAGACTCACAATTCATTCCATGCCATGCATGCACACACACAAACAAGGACGACAAGCCGAGTGCAAGCCATAGGGTTGCACCAACAAACTCCCCCTCGGATTGTTGGCCTTAGAATCTGCTCCCCTTAGTTCAGAGCCATCCCAGCAAGCTTGCAACACTTCCAATGCTGCTGCTCAACCAGCCTCTTGGTCATCATATCAGCAGGCTGCGCCGTCGTCTTCACGTAGTGCAACTCCACTTCACCCGCGGTTACCATGCTCCTCACCCAATGCCACTTCACCTTCATGTGCTTGGTAAGGCCATGAAGAACGGGGTTCTTAGCCAATGCAATAGCACCCTGGCTATCACAGTAGAGTGGGGTAGGTCCTTGCTGCTCCTCCCCCAATTCAGCTAGCAAACGCCGCTGCCACACAACCTCTCTTATGGCACGGAAGAGTGCCATGTACTCGGACTCCACCGAGCTCAATGCTTGGTCCACTTGCTTCTTGCTCTCCCAAGCTGTTGGCCCTCCACCAACACAGCAGATGAAGCCTCCCACACTTGTCATGTCCTCTGGTTCTGATGCCCAAGATGCATCAGAGAAGGCGGTGAGAAAGAGCCTCCCGGGTTCGACTCCATCCGCACCCTTTTGACGCCTTTGTGCCGCCGCGGAGTATTGCAGTCCAACAGTTGCTGTTTGGCCAAGGTACTTGGCCACCCTCTCTCCAGCTGCTACCTGCTCTTCATTAGGGCATTGGACAACCCTAGCCAGCTGCCCGGTAGCAAAGGCTGCATCCGGCCTTGTGTGAACCGCCGCATACATGAGGCTGCCCACCAAGGAGTGAAAACGCCGCCTCTCCTCTTCACCAACACTTTCCTCCGCTGGTCCTTTCACACACTTGAACCCTGAGGGAAGAGGAGTAGCCACATGACCTTCACTCTTCCCAAAGTTTGCAGCCAAGGCCTCCAAGTACTTCTTTTGATGCACTCGCATCCACCGCTTCTCCACATCGCGCTCAATGTGAAGCCCAAGGTAGTAGTTGACGTCACCAAGGGTCTTGCACTTGAACTTGTCTTGAAGCTTCAGCATCACCTCGTTCACAAGGTCAGAGGAGGGTGAGAATATGAGGATGTCATCCACATAAACCACCATGAAACTCCTCTGCTCCCCCTCGCCAAGCATGAACAAGGATTGATCGGCCGTTGAGGGAGTGAAGCCGATCGCCTCCAAGACTTCCCGCAGCTTGATGTACCATTGCCTAGGGGCTTGCTTGAGGCCATAGAGTGCTTTCTTCAGCTTCCACACTCTGCCACTCCCATCATTGTACCCCTCTGGCTGCTCCATGTAGGTCTCTTCCTCCAAAACGCCGTTGAGGAAGGCCGTAACTATATCCATTTGCTTCACCACCCATCCTTTGATGGCCGCCGCGGCGAAGAGGGTTCGAAGGGTTGTACCCTTCACCACAGGGCCATACACTTCATTGTAGTCCTTCTTCTCTTGCTGCTGATACCCCTTGGCTACAAGTCTGCTCTTGTAGCGCTCGATGTTTCCGTCGGCGTCGGTCTTGCGCTTGAAGAGCCACTTGGAAGAGATCGCATTCCGCCCCAGAGGTAGGTTCACCAAGTCAAACGTGTCGTTCTCGATGATGCTCCCCATTTCTTCATCTGAGGTCTTCTTCCACTCCTTCCCATTGGGGCCCTCCCAAGCCTCCTTGGGATTTGTAGGCTCCCTCGGCATCTCCACCGGAGAGAAGAAGGCAAAGGCGCACTCCTCGCTTTCATCTTCCGCATCATCGCCTAGCATGAGAGCCGAATCGGTCAAGGTTGAGTTGGCTGGTCCTCCAAGCCGGTCATAGCTCAACCTATTAGGGGGCTGAGTCCTCCTTCTCCCCCTTCCTTCCTCCTCCGCTGCAGGGACTTGAATGCTCTCATGGCGTTGCGGTAAGTCCGGTCGGTTTCCGCGAGCACTTGTAGCACGAGGCGGAAGTGACGGTGCACGCTCATCACCTTGCTGCACCTCCTCCTCCTCTTCTCTCCCATTCATTTGAGGAGATTGCCTTGTGATAGTGCTGCTGCTAATCAGCTCCAAGGGCAGCTCCACATGCTCCAAGCCGGTACTCTTCACCTCTCCAAGCCGCACACCAATCTTCGCTTGGTTCTCCGCCTTCCACTCCTTGTACGGTAAGTTCTCCATGAACTTGCAATCTCTGCTCACCAGGAACTTCTTGGTAAATGGGTCCCAAAGAAGCCATCCCTTGCTGTTTTGAGCCATGCCCAGGTGCACGGCCCATGTTGCCTTGGCATCAAGCTTGTTGTGCCGAAGTTTCTTAGGCACAAGTGCCATGCACATGCACCCGAACACCCGAAGCATATCCACCTTCGGCTTCCTTCCAATCCACTCCACATAGGGCACCCATTTGTCTTCTCCCACGTGAGTCAAGGCTCTGTTCTTGGCCACACAAGCATGCCGCACCGCATCCGGCCAAAAGTAATTGGGTAGACCGGCTTCAATGAGAAGTCCCCGAGCCGTCTCCGTGAGTGTCCGATTCGCACGCTCGGCAATGCCGTTCATTGCAGGAGAGTAGGGCATGGTGAGAGAGTGCCTTATGCCCTGCTTCTTCAGCCAAGTTGAGAAGTCCTTGCTCAGGAACTCTCCCCCACGGTCAGTGCGAATCGCCTTCACAAGCCGGTCTCGTTGCCGTTCCACCATCGGCAACCAATCGGTCTTCACCGTTTCAGCCACGTCACTCTTCTTGGGCAGCACATACACCCAGGTCATGCGAGTGTAGACATCCACAATTGTGAGGAAGTACTCTGCTCCAGCAGCTCCAAGCTTCAAGGGGCCCACCACATCCATCACCACCTCATCAAGTGGTGCCTTCGCCGTTGTCTCCGAGCTATGGAACGGGTAGCGGGTGAACTTGGCTTGCATGCATGTTGGACAGCCAAGCACCTCATTGGGCTCCCCCTTGACACGTATCCCACTGACCATCTCTTGCTTAACTATCTGCTGCAAAATGGGCAATGCCACATGCCCCATTCGCCGATGCAAGGTCAGCCAATCACACTCTCCCGTAGCGGAAGTCGGGTTGGAGAAGGCGGCACTCGCAATCGTGCCCCACAAGCTCTCTCCTTTTTCCTTTGCCGCTGCTGCTTTGCTGATCTTAGGCTTCTCCTCCTCATTTCCACCACCTTTGGCTGCTGCACCATTCTCCTTGAGTTCACACGCCTTGCTGGTCTCTCCAAGGTTGCACTCCTTCGAGTCACTCTTGGTGTCACTTTGTTTTCCGTGATCACCGCCACCAACCGCTTCACTCTTCGTGCTGACGCATGCCACTTGCCTCCCCTTAGGCATGGGGACCACTGGGATTTTCCACATCTCATTGTAGATGTCCCTGTCCTCATGAAGGTCCCAAAGCTTCCGCTCACCAAGCCTCGCGGTATAGGTTTTGGAACCCTTGGAAGATGTGTCCATGCCGGCCTTTTGCAAACGCCGAACACAGATCAGGTTGGCTGCTAGGCTGGGCACCCAAAGCACGTTCTTGAGGCCCACCATCTTCCCATCAGCACCCTTGAACATGGCCTTGCCCATGTCTTTCACCTCTGCTCGCTGCCCCAAAGCCGATGTAACATGCTTGACCGGCGACGGTTCGAGTTCGGTGAGCAAGTCCGCACGAGGTGTCATGCTATAGGTGGCGCCGCTATCGATCACCCAAAAGTCCAGAGAGTGAAGGGTGACCTTTCCCACAGTAGCTGGCTCCTCAAAGCCTTCCACACCTCCTGCTGCAGCTGCCGCTTGCGTGGAGACAAAGAAGAATTGGCCCGGGTATCGATCTTCACTCGAGTCCTTGTCGTAGTCTCCACCTTTCATGCTTGCGGCTTCGCCTCCACGGCCACCACGGCCTCCACGACCTCTGCCTCTTCCTCCCCTTGCTCCTCTTCCCTCTTGGCCTTGAGAAGGGGTCCAGCCATCAGGAAGTTTGAAGCAATCTCTCCACATGTGGCCGGTCTTGTGGCAAAAGTGGCATTCGCCATCAAATCGACCGCGCCCACGCCCGTAGCCATTGTTGTTGCTGCCATATCCTCCATTACCACGGCCTCCATTGAAGTTACTGCTGCCAAATCTGCCTCCTCGCCCTCTGCCCCTTCCACGGCCGTGCCCACGGCCCATGCTTGCAACTCCGGCACCATCGGGACCCGCCAATTCGCGACGGCGGAAATCTTCTTGTAAGATTTCCCGCTTCACATCTTCGAGTGAGAGACGGGGCAGATCTCGATTTAGGTTGATGATGAGCGAGGACCATGAGTCCGGAAGTAAGGCCAGCAGCTTGGTCTTCTTTTGAAGGTCACTGTAGTTCAGATCAGCTCCTTCGAGCCGTGTCAACAAGTCGAAGAATTTCTGCACTCCTTCCTCCACCGGTTCGCCTTCGTCAATTCGAAGTGCCGCCATTTGCCGCTCCAAAACCACAGCCACCGCCGCTGTTGCAGGAGCGTGCACCCCCTTGAGAGCAGCCCATGCCTTTGGTCCCTTTGCTGGTTCACGCTGAAAAGGCTTGATGTGACAGATTTGGCTGCTCCCCAACGCTTGCCCAAGTAGAAGGTAGCCTTGTGCGCTCTTCCGCACCCACGGGCTCTTCTCCGGGTCGTTCTCGGGGCGCTTCTCCGTTCCTTCCATCACCTCCAGCAGATCATAATGGTCAAAGATGTTCTCCATCTTGAAGGACCACTCAGCAAAGTTGTCACCGTTGAACTTGTCAAGGCCAAACACTCTAGGCTCATCCCTAGAGGGTCCAAGGCTAGGTTGCACCGGAGCAACGGGTGGATCTTGCTGTTGACCTTGTGCTTGGGCGTCTTCTCTGCCTCCAGCACCTCTGCCACCCCCTTCTTCAGGTCTAGGCATGGTCGAGAAGGCTCCAAGGGGCTCTGATACCACTTGTTATAATCACAATAGGCTTAGATGTGCCTATAATGAGAGATAGAGAGCACAGTCGGATTTCCGTCAGACGGCTTCAAATATTGATAACGATCTGGTCACGAAATCAAACGGTGATCTGTAAGTTGGATCTAGAGCGTTTTGCTGTCGTTTATCAGCAGCAAGTTGAATTATGAAATTCCATGAAGATTTGACGACGCTATGGCGGTTTGACTGGCAGGAGGTATAGCAGCCACAATAGTCTTAGGAGTACAAACTTAGCAAGAAGAGTTCGAGAGGGAGATGGTTCCCAGCCTCTACATACCCCAAGAGCCGAGGTCCAGGTTGGTGGTACACCACCACAGAGTTCCCAACCATGAAGAGTCTCGAAACCAAACCTCCAAGGGGCTACACCAAGTGAAATGTAACACTACACGAAGTAACGTTACTATTTTCACTATTTAATATTTATCCGCGTCCCTTGGGCTTGAAATCTTGAGCTCTTGTTCTTGGATCTGCAAGATAAATTCTTCTTGAGTTGATGGGGGCTTGCTGCACACACCTGCGACGTGATGGACACTTCACACTCGACAAAATAGAAAAAGCACATGCGACACACAAACGACGACTTGACATGCGAGTTGTAAAAACTCGCTAATGTCTTGACCGACACAAACCACATTGTGATACACCATTCAAACACACACACAAGCACTGGATAGCAATGACATAGACTCACAATTCATTCCATGCCATGCATGCACACACACAAACAAGGACGACAAGCCGAGTGCAAGCCATAGGGTTGCACCAACAGGGGACAAAGCAGGGGATCGGCCACCCTGGACAAAGGACTCCTCCCCCTCCCTCCGCGCATGGCAAGGCATCGGGCAAGCCCCACACTAAGCGACATTGGGTGCACTCCCCCACGCTTGGCACATATTCTCAAACCAACGCACTCTGTGCCGTTTCCCCTGTCCTCCGCTTTCCCTTCTCCCATACCTCCCTCCTTCTCCACTGTTCCTCCTCCCCTCTCTCCTCTCCTCTCCTCTTGTCCCCTCTCCTCTCTTCTCGTCTCGTCTCCTCTCGTCACCTCTCCTCTCCTATCCTCTCCTCTGCTCTCTCCTCCTCTCCACCGCTCTGGGTTTAGGGTCCCCTCCGCTCTCCTCTCATCTCCTCCCGTCTGCACTCCTCTCCTCTATTCTCCTCTGCTCTCCTCGGTTCTCCTCTCCTCTCCTCTCCTCTGCTCTCCTCTCCTCTGCTCTCCTCTGTTCTCCTCTCCTCTCTCACCTCTCTTCTCCTCTCCTTTGCTGTTGTCTCCTCTCCTCTCCTCTTGTCTCCTCTCCTCTCTTCTCGTCTCGTCTCCTCTCGTCACCTTTCCTCTCCTCTCCTCTCCTCTGCTCTCTCCTCCTCACCACGGCTCTGGGTTTAGGGTCCCCTCCGCTCTCCTCTCATCTCCTCCCGTCTGCACTCCTCTCCTCTATTCTCCTCTACTCTCCTCGGTTCTCCTCTCCTCTCCTCTCCTCTCCTCTCCTCTGCTCTCCTCTGTTCTCCTCTCCTCTCTCACCTCTCTTCTCCTCTCCTTTGCTGTTATCTCCTCTCCTCTCCTCTATTCTCCTCTGCTCTCCTGTGTTCACCCCTCCTCCGTTCTCCACTGCTCTCCTCTTCTCTCCTCTTTTCGTTTCTCCTCTCCACTCCTCTCCCCTCCTCTACTCTCCTTTGCTGTCTTTTCTTCTCCTATCCTCTCCTCTCCTCTCCTCTCATCTCCTCTCCTCTCCTCTCCTCTCCTCTCCTCTCCTCTGATCTCCCCTGTTCTCATCTGCTCTCCTCTGTTCTCCTCTCCTCTGCTCTGCTCTCCTCTTCTCCCTTGTCCTCGTATCTCCATTTCACTCCACTCGTCTCCTCTCCTCTCCTCCCCTCTACTTGGCTGTCGTCTCCTCTCCTCTGCTCTCCACTGCTCTCCTCTCCACTCCTCTGTTCTCTGTTCTCCTCTGCTCTCCACTGCTCTCATCTCCTCTCCTCTGTTCTCTGTTCTCCTCTGCTCTCCACTGCTGTCCTCTCCTCTCCTCTCCTCTCCTCTCCTTTGTTCTCCTCTGTTCTCGTCTCCTCTCCTCTCCTCTCCTCTCCTCTCCTCTCCTCTTCTCTCTCCTCCTCTCCACGGCTCTGGGTTTAGGGTCCCCTCCGCTGTCCTCTCATCTCCTCCCGTCTGCACTCCTCTCCTCTATTCTCCTCTGCTCTCCTCGGTTCTCCTCTCCTCTCCTCTCCCTGCTCTCCTCTCCTCTGCTCTCCTCTGTTCTCCTCTCATCTCTCACCTCTCTTCTCCTCTCCTTTGCTGTTGTCTCCTCTCCTCTCCTCTATTCTCCTCTGCTAACCTGTGTTCACCCCTCCTCCGTTCTCCACTGCTCTCCTCTTCTCTCCTCTTTTCGTTTCTCCTCTCCACTCCTCTCCTCTCCTCTCCTCTCCTTTGCTGTTTTTTTTTCTCCTATCCTCTCCTCTCCTCTCCTCTCCTCTCCTCTCCTCTGATCTCCCCTGTTCTCATCTGCTCTCCTCCGTTCTCCTCTCCTCTGCTCTGCTCTCCTCTTCTCCCTTGTCCTCGTATCTCCATTTCACTCCACTCGTCTCCTCTCCTCTCCTCCCCTCTACTTTGCTGTCGTCTCCTCGCCTCTGCTCTCCACTGCTCTCCTCTCCACTCCTCTGTTCTCTGTTCTCCTCTGCTCTCCACTGCTCTCCTCTCCTCTCCTCTGTTCTC